ACCTGAATATATGTTTCTTATTCTTAACTTCAAGGCTGCTGAATGGCCTGCACTTAGATCTTACTGGTTCTCACATGGTTTGAGAAAAGAGTTAAAGTGGGAAGCTTAAATTGCATGGGTGAAAATGGGCTCCTTATATACCTTTTGGGAGGCCATCTTACTAAGCATGATTCATCACATAGATTGGTAAGAATGTGCTTACAAACTTGTGTTGAGTCAGCTTGTTTACTAATGTACATACAAAATGAAGTGTAGTATTACAAAGAATGAAAAATGAAAAGCATGAGTCATCACATGGATTGGTAAGAATGTGCTTACAAACCAAGTCCTTAGGTGTGCTGAATCAGCCTTATGACTAAGTGGATTACAAATACAGTTGCAAGTTTTACAAAGCATGACGAATCATGACCAAACATGATGAGTCAAGTTAAATCCTTACAAATCAGAGTATTTCCCAGTCACATGACATGATTACTAACATGTTTGGTGGCTTGAGGAAAAGTCTGGTGGCTAAATGTGCCTAGAAAAAATAGAAAGAGATAGAATCTCATGGAACAAAATAGAAATACATAGAAAAAATAGGAGTCACTGCAGGCATTTTCCCATTTTCCTCCAACAAACATCCAAAAAACATTGATTGAGAAGATAGAAATTTCCTCTCATGTTACCTGTCAAAACATTGAAAAAAAATAATTCATATGTTAAAGATTTTCTGTGCATGGGACATGATGCAGAAATTGGACATGTTCCTTTGAGGATAATACTGGATTTTCTATCTATTGTCTTTTTAATAGCAGTTTATGATAATGTTAAATTTTTGTGCAAATATACTATGTTTTTCAAATGTTTTGTGTATATTTGAAAACACAGACCAGAAATTTAACCTCACTGTAAACTGCTGTTTAAAAGAAAATAGATGGAAAATCCAGTATTATCCTTGAAGGAACATGATGAATTTTTGCATTTTGTCCCATGCACAAAAAATATTTAACACATGAATTAATTTTTTTCAATGTTTTGATAGGCAACATAAGAGGAAATTTCTATCTTTTCAATCAATGTTTTTTGGATGTTTTTGGGAGAAAAATGGGAATATGCCTGCAGTGAGTGAAGTTTTGAAAGGGAAAATACTAGCTAAGAAATATTAATGAAAAATGATAAGGTAACTTGGTGATAGGAATCAGTCAGGTGTCTTCTACCTTCCCTGTCACTGCTGTTGTGTATATGTCATGGTATGGATCACATACCATGGATGACACCGGACAGCACGCTATGGGAGAAAAGTGATCCTAAGGCAGTTGAGTTGTTGAATGAGGAAGTTAGTGATTAGTGTTTTAACTCCTTTTTCCTAGACAAGGTAAAATATAGCTGTAACAATCATATGTGCCTAGTGCTGATATGACTGTCACACTGGGTCCAGGTACATCCTCCACCTGCAGCAAATCAACTGGGTTCTGGCATGTCCTGTCTCCCTCCCACCTGCAGTTAGCATGCCTTAAAAGGGTACCATGTGAAAAGTGCCCTTAAAATGTCTTAAAATGTCTTCAGAGGCTCACTAGAAATTTCCGACAAAATGACCATTAAAGTGTGACCTTAGAGCCAGTTCGGCAACTCAATGTTGGGGCGTATTTGCCATGTTGCACATCTGGCGCAATGTGAGTTGCACCGGCATGCTCCCGGCATATTCCTTTGGTCAGTTGGAGCTTGAACCTTCCCTATCTACTGACTAGCACCACAATAAACTGGCTCGACCCTCACCTCCGCAAGCTAGTTTATTCATCGGTTGTCGCTGTTGTATCTATTTGCGGCCAATTTACTACTGTTATAATGGCTACCGAGCCAAATACTGCTACTGTCGTACCAGTACCAGCTGAGCCAAAAGTGCAATGGAATGTAGCAGAGACAAACACTCTTCTCAATCACCTAGTCAGCAACAAATCCGAGGTTGGGGATGGTGGTTTCAAGCTGTCTACATTTACCTCAGCAGCAACTGCCCTTGCAAGGGCCGACCTGCTAACTGCAGGCCCTCCAAAGACAAATAAACGCTGTAGAAGTAAATGGAACACGGTGAGTGCATTGAGATTCTCTACGTCCCATTCTACTAATATCTACCCCTGTACCAGCTCAGAGGGATATACTAAGAGATCCAAAACTATTGCAACGTCTCAGGAGCTCACTGGGATAATACCAGAGGCGCTGGAATCGAAGGAAGGACTGCATTAGAGGTATTCAATAACTACGTCACATCAAGTGTGCATCCCCTGTTCAAAGCTATCTACTGTAATCTAATATATCAAATAGACATCCCGCGCTTCAATGTGGCCATTTGCCAACAGCGGGTGGATATACTACGACAAACTAGCTGAGATCTTCCCAAATGGCACTGGCGCTCAGGGAACTCACGCATTTCATCCGGCTGCTGCTGCAGCTCCAGTACTGGCTGACGATGATGTTGAGCCTGGCGCAGAGCATGTCATCACTACTGCTGCTGCTGCAACCATCATCGCATCAGCTGCCAGTGCCAATACTGACCCTGTTGCTGCTACCATGGAACTGCCTCACGATACCAACTTCAATGCTTCTCGTCTTCCCATCTTGCCTCCTTCCACTGTTGCATCCAGTATTGGCACTGGAAAACGCACTCATGATGATGCATCGTGCAACATGGAATCATCAACTCACCTATCCAGCTATCCATCATTTTCTGGTCCCTTGCCGTCCTCTACCTTGGTATCAGCACCCCCTCCTGCAAAAAAATCGCTGATCTGGATGTCACGGTGACAGTGCGGTCACAATGATGACCAGTGCAGCATGAGGGTTGAAGGTTTCACCTGCCACTGCTGTTGTTGGCATGCAGGGTTCCATCAACCGCATTGGTAACATTCTCGAAAAAGCCGTCACTGCAGTGCCTGCGCCTGCACCACCACTACCACCTCCTCCACCTCCTCCACCCCCTCCCCCCTTGGTTGCAACCGCTCTTGATCGTGCCATGATCCTTATGCAAACCGAAGACGTGGAGGTGCCTGCAGAGGACTTAGGCCGACTGTTACTAATTTTTACAAGCAATGAGCGGGCGATGGAGATTTATGTGCAAAGCCCACTGGGACCACGCCGCTCTTATATCAAGGCGCTTCTTGAGGCTCACACAGCGAAGTAGGTATCACTTTCACATCTTGTCCCTTACTTGTACAATGTATCTTAGGCTGTATGTTCTGTGATTGTCGTGCTGTTTTCTGTCTGCTTTGTTGTTTGTTGTCCCACCATCATTTTCGAGTCCACAATCATGTAGCATTGGGTTCTGATACACACGTAAGAACTATACATGAATATCATTGTTTGCATCTGCGCCCTCATCCTCGTCTGCAGTTGTCATCACCATCCAGGCCAAGTAAGTCCTCTTCATCTAAGTCATCACCATCTGCTAGTACTCGTTCACGCAAAACTTGCCCATATTGAGCCCACATGTCTTCAGCAATGTTGTCACGCAAGCGGCTCATTTCAATATCTGCTGTTTCTTCCTCTGGTACCACTGCCTCATGTGGGTCAGTCTCATCCTCAGCCGGATCCCCATCTGAGTTAGTATCTGGGATAGGACCCTCCTGTGGGTCGTGCAGGTGTATAAAGTTGTGGATTGTACATAGAGCAGCTGGAATCTGCGCTTGAATGTTTAAGTTATACCTTGGTGTGAGGATGAGGATGCGGAAGCGATGCTTTAAGACAGCCGAAGACATGTTCAATGATGTTCCTTGCCATGGCATGGCGAAGATTGAATAGCTCCTCTTTATTGCACAGCCTACCATCAATGTTAGTGTGCATTCTGAAGAATATGGACTGTCTTACCTTACACTCACTCGTCCCCACTCAGCAAGATGGTAGCAGACATTACGGTATGGTATCAGGAGTCCATGGCATAGAGGGTAACCAGCATCAGCTAGAAAGTATTTTTCTTGGGAGATCTTAAGGTCTTTGGTAGATGCGTCCTCAAAAACACATGCATCTGTGGCGGATCCCTCCCAACCGGTAAGGACATAGGTAAAATTCATGTCGAAGTCGCATGTGAACAGGCAGTTTTGAGAGACAAGACCTTTGCGATCGCGGTAGGCAGCACATTCAAGTGCAGGAGGTGTAGCATGGATATGGCTCCCATCAAGCGCCCCAATGGTGTCCTTAAAAAATGGCCAGAATTTGGGATTCTGGCGAATTTTGCAAGAAACTGCTTCATCTGATGGGAGGTGGTCATATTTTGAATAGAATGGCGGGGTTGATAGAATTACAAGCATCCTTCTAAAGTATCTAGATATAGTGTGACAAATGAGTCCAGTCCATGAAAATATGACACTCACCGAGATATTGTCTCATTGGAATGCTGAAATCTTTCACCAATATGCCTGATTGACAGGCCTGTGACAGCGGCATACAGGAAAATGGCGAGTTGCTCCTCTAGAGAGACAAACTTGGAGTCAGAATACCCAAGGGTACGGAGTTCTGATATGAGCTCTGCAAAGACATGGGCATGCACTCCAAGCTCACAATGAATGTGCTCCGGATGACCAGTGAGTAATTCGACCACCCATGCTTCACCAGAAAGCGCTGATGTATGGTAGGGTTGTGGGTCCCTTGGGTGCATAGATGCTACAAGACTGCCGGAGGCATGGATGAGAATGCTGAGTAGAAGTACTACATACTGTATGATTTTATGGTGAACCTGAGACCAGTTTTGAAGACGAAGCCCTGGAAAGACTTCGGGTAGGGACTCCATAGTACTATGAAGGATTCACAAGCCCAGGGATACAGTCGTCTAACCTAGGATTACATTCAAGCTCTGACTATATGCCGGGAGCATGCCGGTGCAACTCACATTGCACCAGATGTGCAACATGGCAAATACACCCCAACATCGAGTTGCCGAACTGGCTCTTAGTAAATGATGTTCCCCACTTCCATCATCAAACAAAATGACAAAATGAAGAAACATGACCATCACACCTGCCAGCAGACAGTCTTGTTTTCAAAAAAAAAATAGTTCAAGTGTCATATTGTCTATCCCAGCCATTGCTCATAAGTAGCCACTAAGTCCTCTTCACAAGTACCTACATCCTCTGCCTCCATGGTTCTAACATAAGTAACATAAATGTCAAGTGAATTACCCTCCTCTACAACACCTTTTGACTTTCTGACAAACCTTTCATATATTTCTTTGTCTTCAGGTTCTGCTTCATCATTACATGCCTCTAGCAAAGCAAAGCACTGATCAACATATCTGAAAATAAGCTTAGCTACTGTCTCTATTATAATCCAGACAAACTCACTTCAGATACTCTGTCTGCTCCTCGACTGGCACATCTGGATGCAACAACCTCTTGGCAAGCGCAGCTGATGAACGAGGATCGTCAGTGGAAGGTAGGTCTGATTTCAACACCTCTTGTTTGGAGCTCAATGCCTTCTTAGAAAACCCGTGCTGAGACGAAGGATACGTGCCGATCCAACGACGAACTCCAGCCATGAGCCTGGAAAATAGTTTGCATGAAATACCGTAGACTAAGTCGAATACGTACCGTGGATGGTGTGTTGGATGAGTGCTGTGAGGGAGAAATGGACTGTAAGCAATGTCCTTCAGAGTCTTCCTGTGGATGATGACAGATACATTAGCAATAATTCGCCACTGTACAGCACTGCTCACCCTGGTAGCTTCAATGTGCTATTCATGGAGTACGCAAAGTGCTTTCCTAGTGAAGTAAATAAGAGCGGTCGGTAGTACTCCGCCCAAAACTCTCCGCCGACGTTCACGAAGTCGCACAACGCTGACGAGCACTCCATAACATCGTACAACACCTGGAGATGCCGCTTCTGGAACCATTTCTGATACTGACCGCGTTTCGGGGGAAGCACCAAGCTGCGTTCAGCTGCCACGCCAAGAAAGAGATTAATTGCTGCTTGTTTGTCTGCGTCTAGAGGAACTTGTCAGTTATGGGTGGGTGAGTTCAAGACAAGTAGGTACCAAGAAGAGAGTTGGCATAAAAACGGCGGATATTTTCGATGATATCCCTCGAGTGACTATTCCAGTGAGGCATCCTGCGATATGTCTCTACCCGATTCACAAGTGCACTGCCGGTATACTGCAGCGCGATGGCTACACCAAAGATCAGCGATGCCTAACACAAGTTAAACGGCACACTCAACTATCTCCATGGTCATGATACATTTCAGTCAACATGTTCACCGCATCTGAATCGAATGGGAGGTTTGGGCTGGCAACAACACCGAGGGCATACAACTGGTGGCCCAGAGCACGTTTCCCGAAAACAAATTGTGCTGCATTCGTACGATCCAGGCAGTCGACACAGTTTGTGCGGCATACACCATTCTGCAGCAAGATGGAACGACGACAATGTTCGTTCTCTTCACTGGGAATGACAAAGTCAGTATTACATTTGAAAAAGACGAGTGTAATACACACTAGTTGCCATTATGGAGACAATGAGCGAGTGGTTCCACGCCGGAATGAAAGAAACCAGTCATTTGAATGGATACCTCCGCTATGTCCTCGAGGTAGCTTATGACATCTTGTGTCTTCCTACAGTCATATTGAGACAGCGCAGCTCCAAAATGGCGTGAAAGTCGTACTCTTTGTATGCCCGTGACATGTCCCAAGCCCGATAGACCATCTTGTACTCATCCGGCAGAAATTGGTTCAAATATTTGACGCATTGAGTATACTCATCCAACAACTTCGATTCGCGTGGCTGCGGCTCTCGCCGCTTGATGAGATTGAGGACTGTGATTGGCGCGCCATATCGTGCAAAAAGGTCATCGAAATGACGAGATGCAGCGACATAGAAGGGATCTACAACGCTGACTTGGGATGTGTCAAGATAAAGGTAAGTTGATGGTCACAGCGGACGTACTTTCAATAGGCGGTCGGGGAGTCATGCTAGTAGTTTCCTGTGTCCAGTATATGGGAATGCTGCCCCTGTACTAAGAATGTGCGACTGATGTAAGAACTATGACAGATCGCATGATGTGTTGGCCCGCACCTGAACGTAACTGGTATACTGCGGGCTCGGCCGACGTTGATATTCGCCTGCTGAGGGACCGGCGGGGGGGAAGTAAAATGGTGTCGTTAGTGCTTCTGATACAATTTGCTCGGTCTCAACCTCGTTTGCGACGTTTCCCTAGGTAGATGCTTGAGGAAAAAGATTATTTAATATACTGGTTCCGTACCTCTTCATTGACACCGCGTGTCAAATATCGAGCTCCAGCATAATGGCGTGACCGACGGGCAATAAGCGTTACAAAGACTACACGCCCAAGTACAGTAAGTTCTGGTAGCGTACTGAGCATCGCGATACGGGTAGCGTAAAAGGCCGATGCACTTACTAGCCTGGTCTACATGTCCATGTATGAGTGGCAGTAGCCATGGACGACGGATGCTAGTGGCGGGGGAATCCTTGAGAGGTGCAGCGATCATGTGAAAATTCCAAACATATCGATCGTTGAAGGGCCATCTGGTACTATTGAAACGCTCGGGCTTGGTGAGGTTATTTTGAAGCGTAGAAGTGATATCGTATGAGTAACTAGATTGAGGCATAATGGAACTAATTAGGAGAGCTCGCGCACTTGGATATTGCCCACCTGAAGTAAAAGTTCTTCGACATGTCAACTTGCTTAAACATATTCACAAGGCGCTGCTCCTCGGCAGGACGCTCAATCTTGTGATTGGATGGGACAGGTATCATCTCCGTGTTCTCGCAATGGTATAAATAGTGGCCACCAAGAAGTGCCACAACTGAACGCTTTGATATGACAATCATGTACCACCCAGCTGTGAACTTCACGAATCCTTGGTCTGGTCAGCGACTTATGATAAATGCACTGGTGCAGCGTACCTGCAATCCCAAAGATTACGCGTGCCTTGCCAAGCCCACCAGATCCCTTGTTACCATCCTCCAGCATCTTGAGCATGTTGCTCATTTGCTTGCCGCTATAGTCGGTGTCGTCTTCGACGACGACAACGTCAGTTTGCGAGGTGCGGTCAATCTTGACAATCCGGTGGCGGGAGTCAGAGGCATTAGAGGCGACAATATAGAAGCGTAGCTTGTTCTCGTATAAAATGAACTTATTGAACGCAGAGAATTTGTGTAGCAAGTTACAATTGGCAGGAGGTTGTATTGACTTATCTGACGACTCTGCTCTACCTTGAAACCCAGCGGTCGGGAATGTCGATGAGCTTGGTGGATCTGACTGTGACGCTAGTCCATCCATGGCAGCCTGGCAGGTACTTAAGTACTCAAGTACTGTAAGTCTGTAACCCAGCAGCAACCTAAGTTACTGTAGGTACGGCAAGCACCGATCATGAGTGCTGACCAAGCCCGCCCCCTATTGCAAGTTTCCTTTTAGCCAACCATGTGTGGACGATATGCCCTAGGTCTGCAGGTCAGTTTCTATCACAACTTGCTTCAGCTGTTTTAACGTGACCAGCGTGCTGAAATGCGCTCTACCTGGATTAATCCTCCAATCTTGAAATTGGTGAATGGGTGAACGAAGACAATTTCGTGGTGAGTTCTGTGTTCTCAACACCCACGTAGGCATACCATGAGATGCGTCCTGAATTACAGCCCCGCTACAACATTGCGCCAAACTCTCTGGCGCCCGTCATTCGCAGGCGTAACGCTTCTTCACCCGACCTTCAAATGCAGACCATGCGGTGGGGCATCCCTTATGGTAAGGTTCATGCGAAAAGCCAACAAGCTATCAATGCACGCTCGGAAAACATCATGGAAGGAGCAGGAATGTGGAACAAATACCGAAGCAGTAATCGCTGTGTTGTTGTTAGCCAGGGGTGCGCGTTTGCAATTCAAAATGGTTCTGGAACTAATCCTCCATCAGGTACTACGAGTGGCAGACAAAGGGCAAGGTCAAGCTTCCACACTTCACGAAACATGCCGATGGGAAGGTGATGCTTATGGCTGGACTTTATCACGTCTCAGGTGCGCATCATTGCTGACCAACGGACTACCCGCCCACAATACTGACGGCTCGAAGACGAAACCATTCCAAACTACGTTTTTGCTATAATTACAACCAGCGCCAGCACATCACTTAGTTGGCTGCACGACCGCCAACCTGTTATTCTTACATCCGACGCAGACGTCACTAAGTGGCTTGATACAAGCTCGAATGCTTGGTCCGCCGAGCTTGGCAAACTGTTACGACCGGTTGGGGGCCTGATATGGTGTGCTCTTTTCTTCCTTGATTGTATCTCGGGCACTGATGGTTATGTGCAGCTATCAAGTTCCAAAAGAAATTGGAAAAGTGGGGTACCGAGTCTTCCGCCTTTGTCCAGCCCGTTGCAACACGCAAAGACGGTATTGAGGCTATATTTGCAAAGCAACGCACCAAACAGAAGGACAATAAGGAGGGCATCAAGCGCAAGCGTAGTCCATCTCCAGTCATATCATTAGTGCCTGAACCAGCCGGGAAGGAGGATGAGAGTCATAAGACAGAGTGCAAAAAGCTCAAAGTTGAATAACTTGTTGCAGGCATATCACGCTGTACATAATTTGTGGCTTGTATGTCATAACCCTAACCCTAGGCCAGGCAAAGGTTGCTTGGCACTGCTTGTCAGCGCTCGGATCCCGTTGATCGGCAAACATCACCTGGCGGCAGCAACCTGGAGGTTCTTATGGCCTATTTCTCAAGCCCAAGGCCACAGTCCTCAAGTTCTGCCATCAAGATTGTTAATCCTGCAGAACATGATGACAAGGCTAAATTACAGGCCAAGAGAGGTAGTACCGAATTCGATTGGCGCAATATCCACGCACAATTTGACCCGGTTCATCAGATTCTCCCCAGCGTCAGTGTAGGAATATATTGATTTATGGGTAAAATCAACTTTTCAGCTGCGAGGTAGTATTTGAATGCGCCATGCAGATCTTGTCGTTATCAAGACAAAGGTTGTATCTATTATCACCCACCGGTATGTGCAGTCCTAGTCTGATAGTATATACCTCTTCTCAAAGTTCTTCAGGTTGAAGGTTCAAACAATCCGTGCGGAGGGTTTTCGATCTTTGACTGCCTTGAGCGCTCATAATCTCTCTAGGCCACGTCCGAATCACCTCTTCCTGCTTCACTTTCCGCGCAGGCTGTCAACGCTCCTGTGTTTGTTCCAAAAGCACCTTTTCATGCTATTGCAACTCCATCCCCGACTTTGGCGTCTCCATTCACTTCTTCGTACGACCTCTATGTATTACTCTACGACTACTGACATTTGTGTAGTCCCTCGCCTTCAACCTTTTATCCAAATCATGACGAATACGATGATTATGGAGAATCTGTCTCCAATCAGACACCTCAAACGTTGGAGCATCAGTTAGTTAATCAGTATCAGCAGGTGCGAACATGTCCTTATATATCTTTTCATTAGGCTTATATCTACTGTAGGTGGATTATGACGACCATGCCTCACCAATGGGCAATTTCTACCAATCTCAACAGGCTACGTTTGCAAGGCAACCTGTAAGCTTCCCCTGCCAATATGCGTGGAGGGATGTTTACTTTTATTGTGTGTAGTTGGATTATCATCTCTATTCGCACCCTACTCCGAATGCCTTTCCCTCGACGCATTTTGTCTCCGATATAATTCGCGAGGAGTTGCACAAACGCGCAGAAGCCTCACAACTGGTCCCATTACCTGGACATAACCTGCCTGATGAACTCCAGGGGTATCATTCCCTAGCTCTTCTTGAACCTTCTGTCACAGAGCGTCGCAAGTTCTTCAGTTGGTACTCTACCGTCTATCGCGCAACTAGTTCCAACGATGGTGTATCATATGCTCTCCGTCGCGTCGAAAGTTTGTTATACCTAGGATATTTACTCCGCATCGTTGACTTGTGCAGATTTCAGGTTGATGCACCAAGCTGCGTTTGGAGCTATCGAAACGTGGTCGCGTGTTGAGCATCCAAGCATTGTTCGTGTCCGCGAAGCATTCACGACTCGTGCATTCAACGACAATTGTACGTCGGAACCTTATTCGACTTCGCTCGCGCTGACAGACGTAAACCAGCTTTGGTGGTCGCATATGAATACTATCCAAATGCTCAGACTCTCTTTGAAATGCACATCAAACAGAAGCCGCCGGTATTTCAGCATGGCCGTCTTTCAACCTTCTCATCAGCATTACCCGAGGTGACTTTATGGTCGTACATGATTCAAATTGCCAGCGCCATCAAAGTAGTGCACGAAGCGGGCCTCGCAGTACGCATGGTTGACGCAACCAAAATCATGGTCACTGGCAAGAACAGGTGTGCTCTCTCACCTCCTATCTAATTCATCTCATATCTGCGCACAGAATTCACATTGGCTCGTGCGGTATTGCAGACGTTCTGATGTACGATCCCCGCCAGGACACTGCGGTCGCCCAACAAGAGGACCTCTCAATGTTTGGCCGTCTTGTGTTTGCTCTCTGCTGTAATAATCTTGCAGCCATGAACACACTCCCTAAAGCACTTGACATGCTGAGTCGCCAGTACTCTGGTGACGTGAAGGCTCTTGCTCTTTATTTGATCTCTAAACCAGGTCCACACAAGGTTGGTCTTTTTCATTATCGGTATAGCCTGCGTTTCATCGTTTCTCAGAATATCACACAAGTAATCGACATGATCGGAACGAATCGATTACTCCACGAAATGGACGATATGCATAGGTAAATGAAAGAAATTTATGCTTGTGCCGATGCTCATACGACAAACTTAGTTCCGTCAACAGGCTTGAAGCTGAACTCATGAGTGAGCTTGAAAACGGGCGCTTGGTTCGCCTTCTTTGCAAATTTGGTTTTATCAATGAGCGACCCGTGTGCGTTTACCACTACTCAATCTGAACAGAGCATCTCAACCTTGGTTTCAGGTTCGCCCGTGAGCCTCGTTGGTCTGAAACGGGCGACAGGTACATCATCAAGCTATTCCGAGACTACGTCTTTCACCAAGTGGACGAGAACGGCAATCCAGTCATCAATCTTTCGCATGTCTTAGCTTGTTTGAATAAGGTGCTCCTTATTTATTTGCTTGGAAAAAACTTCTCACGCTCTTCCTAGCTCGACGCTGGCACAGACGAGCGTATTATGCTCGTTTCCCGCGATGAACAGAGCTGTCTCGTTGTGAGCTACAAAGATGTGAAGGCTTGCATCGATGCTGCTTTTGGGTAGGTCCTTATTGTCTTGTCTCGTTCTCATATGCTTAATACCATAATACCATTCAGTGATCTAGCTCGGGTATCGCGATGATCATCGATCTCTAACACGCAAAAATAGGTAGAATCTGAAAAAGACGCGAAAAATACAAAAAATTATGATTTCAATTCAGTACATCATAGTACTTTAGTTCATTTGTCTGATCCCGACGACGACGAACACTTTGGTTTGCCGTGTTGTCACCACACCACAACTCCGAACTCCAACTGACTGAGGGAAAATCACGGTTGCAATTACAATGAGTTCAATTCACTCATGTGCCAGAGCACTCGCACCCTGGCAGCGGTCTCGGCAGTTGCAACATGCATGGCGACTTGGTAACAATACTTTCTCAACGTCGTCGGTGCTGGCAAGTAATCGAGCTATCGTCTACAATACCAATGGTGACCCAGCTCGCGTCCTATCTGCCTTCTCCTTCCCCGAACTGCCGTCTCCGCCTCCGAACACGGCGAACATAAGGTTTCTGCTTGCACCTATCAATCCCGCAGACATAAACGTTATTGAGGGCGTTTACCCCGCGAAACCAGAGCCTGATGTCTCCCTCTCCCAAGTAAAGGATCATCCACTATTCGTGGGGGGAAATGAGGGCCTGGGCAAAGTAATGGATATTGGCGAGGGTGTTGCCGGTCTGCAGAAGGATGATTGGGTCGTTATGACCAAAGCTCAGAGCGGAACATGGTCGTCGGCGAAGAATGTTGCCTTGTCGGATGTTCTGAAGGTTCCCAAGCAGGGTCTGTCTGAGGCACAGGCTGCTACGATTACCGTACGTCTCTTCATTGTCACTCGGGTACTTTGCGTACTTCAGCTCTGACGTTGGTGAAGGTCAACCCCCCAACAGCTTACAACATGCTGCATGACTTTGCCCAACTTGTTGAAGGAGACTGGATTGTGCAAAATGGTGCGAACAGTGCCGTATGTATGGAGTTTCATTCGTGCGCTGGCAGCAACCCTTACATCAGTCTGTTTCTCAGGTGGGCCAAGCCGTGATCCAAATCGCAGCTGCCAAGGGATACAAGACTATCAACTTCATTCGTGACCGGTGTGTCATATTTACCACACTTACGGGCTTGTCTCATTCAACCAAAGAGATAATGTTGAACTGCTGAAACAACATCTGGAATCACTGGGTGCAACACATGTTGTGACATATGACGAACTCTCCGACAAGTCCTTGAGAGCGAAGGTCAAAACGTGGACTGGAGGCAAGGTATCAACTTCCTCATCTTCCCATTCGACAAACTGAGTAGCATCATGCAGGATATTCGCCTTGGTCTCAACTGTGTAAGCGGCAAAACAACCACCCTGATGGCTCGACTACTTGGGAACAATGCACATCTTGTTTCATACGGTGCGATGTCCAAGGAACCTCTATCACTCCCAACGTCGCTCTTTATTTTCAAGAACCTTACTTGCCATGGGTTTTGGCAAACCCGTTGGTATAGCGACAAGTCCTTAGAACAACGCCAGGAACTGCTCAAGACACTGACTGCCCTCATGCGAGATGGGAAGGTACGGAACTTGAATGATGCTCGTATTCCATCTCATCTCGGCTATCTAGCTTCTGGACCCCGACCATGAAGTCTTTACAATTGGTGGGACGGAGAGCGACGTCAGCGCGTCTGAAAAGATTCGTAACCTCGTAGCGCGCTTAGGCCAGGGAAAGTATGGGAAGAAAGTACTCTTGAGGGTCGAAGAAACTGCATGACATGAAGATGGTGCTGTCTACTTCAATAGGCTATGCCCAGTTGATCGTTTCCGTTTATTCCACTACACAAAACTTACCATATGCAATAAATATTGAGGCCCACAGCTAGTGTCATAGCCATTATAATAATTTTGGTATATATAAGTTTCAAGCCCGGATGCTGAGAATTGAAGTTGGCTTCCTCATTTGGGCAGACCCTTTGGAAAGTTGCTGACCACACGTTCCTCAAGCTTCAAGGCCAATTGTTGTGGAAGCAATTCCCATCTCCCTAGGCACACAAGGGCTTGTCTCTGTCGCCTACCAGAGCGTTCCCACAAGCTTATAGCTTTCGGTGTCTAGCATGGCACAGAGTTCATCCAATGTCCAGTCTAGTCCCTATAGTTCACAGCGGAGACATGCTTCCAAACATCGTTTCTTCGTGGTTGAACTGTCACAAGCTCTTTTCGACTTCGTAATTCGACTTCTTCCAGCCCAAGAAGAGATGGCTGTAAAGGAAGATGTCAGGAAACTCCTTGAGCGGTTGATTCGCACAATCGAACCTGACAGCCGACTGCTATCATTCGGAAGCACGGCAAACGGCTTTAGCCTTCGCAACTCAGGTGAGCTTGGAATAGCTTGTCTCCTGCTCGTAAAGGCTACAGTTTGCTATAGATATGGATCTGTGCTGCCTCATCGATTCCGCAGAGCGTCTGTCTGCATCCGACATGGTTACGATGCTCGGCGACCTCCTAGAACGCGGTTAGTTGGATTGGAAACACGTGTCGACATTCATTTACCATGCTACTAGAAACCAAGTTTCATGTCAAGCCTCTACCTCACGCACGTATACCGATCGTCAAGCTTTCCTTAGATCCATCTCCTGGGCTACCACATGGTATCGCTTGTGATATCGGTTTTGAGAATAGACTCGCCCTGGAGAATACAAGGCTGCTGATGTGCTACGCTATGATCGATCCCACTCGTGTGCGGACACTAGTTCTCTTCCGTGAGTTTAATCACGGATTATCATTATTTGTCGATGATTCAACAACTCTGTGATAGTCAAAATATGGAGCAAGCGGAGGTAGGGGTATCCAGTTATCTGATGCTTTCGCATATTCTTATCATCTCGAGCAGAAACATCAATTCTCCGTACCAGGGAACACTATCATCCTACGGCTACGTTTTACTTGTCATATATTTCCTCATACATGTGAAGAATCCACCTGTACTACCAAATTTACAGCAAATGCCTCCCCTACGACCAATTTCTCAGGTATGCAGATTCATTCTTGTATATTCCTCCTGATATCGATCGGTTTCAGGAGGACACCCACATTGGGGGGCATAATACTTGGTCGGTCTTCTTGGCTATCATCACCAGCGAGAGGCCTCCCTAACTTCACGCTGCAGGTTTTTTGACGACATAGAACTCCTACGCCAGCGATGGCAATCATCTAATACCGATAGTGTGGCTGAATTGTGAGTCACTGTTCGGTTGCCTCGTGGTTTAGGGTTTGAATTGATCTGTACATAGGTTGATTGATTTCTTCCGATATTATTCCCGTGATTTTACCTACAATACAGGCGTCGCTTCCATTCGAGGAGGCTTATTGAAGAAGGACAGCAAGGGATGGCAAAACGAGGCAGGTCACTTAGCATCATTGCGTACTTTTACGTGTTGATGGGCCATGCAGCTGACAGCCAGCCGATATAATGACTCCAGAGAGCGAAATCGGTTTTGTATAGAGGTACGCGAACAGTAATCCTTCTCCTACGATTGATCTCAAGTTCTCCGAATAATAGGATCCGTTTGAGATCGACTTCAACGTTGCCCGATGTGTAACAAAAGAAGGGCTTTACCAGGTATGCTAGCCTTTCAGTCTAACGTAACCTTGCTTATCGATAGTGCTAGATTCGTGGAGAATTCATGCGCGCATCGAGGATCCTTGCGATGCGCCCTCGCGCTCTTGTCGCACTTGCTCAACTGTGTGAAGAAAAGGGTGAAGATCCGCAAGCAACGTCACCTCCATCCGTCTTCGTCCCGCCTCGCCTTTCCATTCCTCCCCAGACACCATATACCGTTGGTAGTAACTCCATGAGACCTAAGGGGGCATCCGCTGAGCGACTTTCACCCCAACCTGAGTTCTTTGAGCCTGAAAATAGACATTCGGGCGATAATTGTGTTCCATCTCGTACCCCACCCGAGCACATGGCACCAAAAAGAACCCAGTGGACTAGCCCGCCCCCACCAGAAGCTCCTCCCGCCCACCACGCCATATTTGAAGATCAGCTTGACCAAGGCCTAGCATTGGCAACGTCTTCGACAATGGCGCGGGAAGCCGGGAAACCAACATCATCTCCTGAACATTTTGATCTCCTCAGCGATGAAGAGCGTCGATCAGATGTTACTGAGTCTGATGAAGTCCAATCTGTTCAGTCCTTTACTGAAGGATCGCGTGCAACTCCCTTAGCATCCACGTCCTTTACTGAACCCGCAACGTCTGCTGTTGGACCTAGCATCCGAGGCAGAGTGCCCTCGAAATCCTCGCATTCCAGTGACAAAAATGCGGTTCCGTTGATCGCCAACGAGGCCACCTTAATTGCTTACAAAGCTGAGCTCATCCGTCGTTCACACTCTGGCCCTCCAAATGGCAAGTCTAATCGTTTTTCCTGGCCCTCCGCCACATCCATTGCATATACTCCTACATTCGGACCATCGATATCTACGTCACAATCCCCCCGCTTGCATGCTCCAGACACGTCTGCTTCGACAAACACTGTATTTTATGAAACCACGGGCACACAGCCGCGCTTTCCCACGTATCCCTTACCCGCACCCGCACCATCTCTCCTGTCATCTAACGTGCCATTCCACATGCGAAACTATCTTGATCAAACCGTTAACAATACCGCTACAATCGATATCTCCAGAGAACCCTCATCGATCTCCCAGACGCCGTTCACCCATTCACATTCACATACTCCTTCCAGTGCTACGATAACCTCTCGTGTTCAACTCATGCCACAACATCTTTCGGGCTCGCCACCACATTCGCCGCTGCGCAATAGCATGCATGGACGTCTGGGCATGGTATGCGGGCCTGGAAGTGACTCATCTTCGCTGACATCTGGAAGTTGCTCACCGTCTCCTTCACCGACTCTGCACCAGCAGCATGCGGCCAATGACTTTTCACGATATAACACGTTCAAGATGGTTGCCCCTCGCCTGAGACGCATTCATGCGGATCCAGCGATGGTGGATCTAACACCTGATGTTACTTTGCGATAGCGCCAGGCTCGCATCGATCGGGAGAGAAATTACTTACACGAGTGCTTATATAGACCACGTTTTGACCTTACCATAGTCTAGGACCATCCCCTATTTGCGCTCGGAATGTAGTCAGGCAACGAACGGTCACATTTATTTGTACAAACAGGAGACGGATGCATGGACTACTGAAGAGGAATGGTACCGTTCTACTCCTGAGCTACGAAAGGGTTTGCAATCTCCTCTGAGCCGTCGACGGGACTGAGGAGGGTGATGGTGGGTCCCCGAAGGACTACGAGGTTCAGCAAGCGGGTTTGAGGTTCTGGCTCTAGAGGTCGACTGTCAGCGGTGTGTATCCTGAAAGAGGAGTTCTGATGGCAGCACCATTAATTTGTTCCTCGACCCCGTCAAGGACGAGATTGAGCAATTGATCGTAACCCTTCAGGATCCCGGTCACTGAATAAAAAATCTGATCAGACGATGATCGATTATGTTAATCGACTGGCTACCTTCTCTACCGCCAGTGAATTTGACCCTTATTCTCTCATTGACGTACTTGGACAGGTCGAGGATGGCTTCCCGCTTGCCTTTACTTGAGTCTTTCCAACATGAGGAGCTACTCAAATAAGGGTTCTGGGGTGACTCACTTGACATCGGATGAAGCTGGAATTGGTCTACCTCGAGGCGGAGGACCTCCACGACCACCTCTAGCTGGAGCACGACCCTGCAATTGAATTAGATTTTTAGCAGATGAAACCAATAAGACATTTAATCGTACGCGATCTGCCATTAATTGAGTGACTTGTGTGCAAGAGCACAGCTTACTTGCTTGCAAGGCTGTTGCAGGCTGTTGGCAGCAAGACAAGAAAACGCAAAAATTGAAAAGCCGCTTGTTTGTTGAGTTGAGGGTTTCTTCATCGTTTCGACTCTGCTCTTGATCCAAATCATTGCTACTTCTCCTAGCGTCAACGACGCTTTAACTGATCTCTCTTCTTGCAAAATCGTGAACCATCTCTCTTTAAATATCAACGACTGTCACGTTGCTGCAACGATTCTTCAATCATGAACGCCAGCGCACTCCTTGCTAATACCCTATCTCCAGGTGGGCGGCCGTAGGCCACTTTTCAATTTTCAAGACTTCATTCTAAACTAATATCTGCCTTTGAAAGATGCTGCAACGCGTCAAACTGCTACTCAGCAACTTGAGAGCGCTTCTAGGGAGAACTACGTGTGTTCAACCACCCTTTTGTCCATTACCCTTTAGCATGCTCAGACTTCTCACAGCCGGTGTATATGTTGATGTTATCAGATGAGCTACGCAACGAGAATTCTCAAATCCATACCCGCAACGCTGCTGGTCTTGCACTCAAAAATGCTCTTTCTGCTCGTGTACGTAAAACGCGTTCCTCATGACCTGTTATCTTTACACATCGTGTATAGGATGCAACGAGGCAAGACGAATACTCTGCAAGATGGATGACCCTCGATGTCGACGCTAGACAGAAGATCAAGGAGGGATCCCTTTTAACTCTTGCATCTCCTCAACCAAGAGCAGGTGCAGTGGCTGCCCAAGTTGTTTCTGCGATCGCAGCCGTAGAGTTGCCCGTCGGCCAATGGCCAGATCTCGTTGAAATCCTCCTCGGTTTTATCAACACGTCTGATGACACGAACTTGAAGATCGCCACCTTGCAAGCTATTGGTTATATCTGTGAAACTATAGTACGTTCACCTTGTGCCACTCAACCGCTTTGTCCTCATCTCGCGCCACAGAAACCGGAGGTTTTAGCATTGAGGTCGAACGAGATTTTGACGGCTGTAATTCATGGCGCTCGCAAGGAGGAGCCATCATCGGAAGTACAGCTTGCTGCAGTCCATGCGCTATTTAACTCCCTGGAGTTCGTACGGGACAATTTCGACCGAGAAGTACGGATTTCTCGTTTCTCTGGCGTTTGCTTTGCTGACGCGCATTAGGGAGAGCGAAACTACATTATGCAAGTCGTCTGCGAAGCTACCCAGAACCCGTCAGTATCAGTCCAAGTCGGCGCTTTCGAGTGTTTAGTCAAGATTATGGCACTGTACTACGATAAGATGGCATTTTATATGGAACAGGCCTTGTTTGGCGTACGACTGCTCGTTTATCCTGCCCCGAGTCCTCCTGACAGAACATACTTTCCAGCTTACTGTGATGGGCATGAAGCATTCTGATGAACGGGTTGCACTGCAAGCGGTGGAGTTCTGGACTACTGTATGTGAGGAAGAGATTGAGCTTGCCCACGAAGCACGAGAGGTACGCGGCATGTACATATACTATTCGGACCAATCACGCTATTCCGCAGGCTGCCGAATACGACGAGCCGCCCGAATTGGAGTCTAAGCATTTTGCCAAGGTTGCCCTGCCGGAGGTAATTCCGGTTCTTCTCAACCTTTTGACACAACAAGAAGAAGACGCCGACGAGGGCGAATGGAACCTTGCCATGAGCGCCGGCACTTGCCTCAACTACATGGCTCAAGCCGTCGCAGATGCGATTGTTCCTGCTGTCATCCCCTTCATCGAGGCACACATCAAGGCCCAAGACTGGCACCAGCGCGAAGCAGCCGTAATGACATTTGGCTCTATTCTGGACGGTCCTGATCCCCAAGTTCTCACCCCTCTCGTCAACCAGGCGCTTCCCCTCCTGATCGGCATGATGAACGATGAGAATCTCCATGTGAAAGATACAACAGCGTGGACGCTCGGACGAATCTGCGATCTTCTAATTGTGACAATCAAGCCCGACGTGCATCTTCACCCTCTGATTTCGGCGCTCGTCAACGGTCTTTCAGATCGCCCGCGCATTGTGACCAACTGCTGTTGGGCGCTCATGAACCTCGCCGATCAGATCGGAATTTACCTAGACGAATATATCACCTCCGCTTCCGAGAGCCCGCTCTCACCATATTTTGAGGGAATAGTAAGCGCCCTTCTGCGGGTTACCGAGACGTCAGTATTTTTACTTTTTTGTTCACGTGACCTCCAGCCTGATCTTGTTTCATAGGACCGCAAACGAATCCAACTTCCGAACTTCTGCATATGAAGCTATTACGTCCTATGTCTCCCATTCAACTACAGACTGTATTCCTGTTGTGCAAAACACCGTCATTGCGATTTTGCAGAGAATGGAGCAACTTCTGAACATGCAGGCGTGTTTCCTCACTACATAATTTTTGCTTGCATCTCACATCCGTTTTTAGAACCAGATCGTCGGCGTTGACGACCGCAACAACTGGAATGAGCTACAGAGTAATCTCTGCAGCGTTGTCATTGTAAGTCATGGTGTTCGTCACGTCGCATTCTATCTCACACATTTACAGAGCGTCATTCGGAGGCTCGGCGGAGGCATTCAACCGATGGCTGATCGAATCATGACACTCGTTCTTCAGCTTATCCAAGGAGCAGGAAAGACATCAACAGTGCTTGAAGACACTTTCCTGGTTGTTGGATCGCTAGCTGCCGGTGCGTTTTCCCCCCGATCGCGTCTACCCTAACATTGAGGTTCTTCGCCAGCACTGGAGGCCGGATTCGCACCATACATTCAAGCCTTCCTGCCATTCCTGTATCCCGCCCTCAAAGCACACGAAGATACCCAGTTGTGCATGGTCGCCGTCGGCATCATCGGGGATATCTCACGTGCACTTGGCGATCAGAGCGCCCAGTACGCAGGCGCGTTCATGAACGTTTTACTCGAGAACCTGCAGAGCAACGTTCTTAACCGCAATGTCAAGATATCAATACTATCGTGCTTTGGTGACATCGCGCTTGCTATTGGACCTGCTTTTGATCCTTATTTGAATACGACTATGGATGTTCTGAGACAAGCGGGCTCTGTGCAACCTAACCCTGTGAGCTGGTTATGGATTTCTGAGCGTTTTCAGTCCTGACTTGTGCTCGTTAGCTTGACTTTGATCTCATGGACTATGTCGCTCAACTACGGGAAGGAATTCTAGAGGCATATACCGGCGTCGTTACTGGTTTCAAGAACACCGAGAAAGGTTTGCATTTTCCTTGTAAACTCATCTTACCGCTCACAATCGTCCCTAGCATCCGCACTACTCCCTCACGTGCCCAGCATCCTCGAGCTTGTCCACCAATGTCTAGCAGACGAGGAGAGATCCGACTCTGTCGTAAAACTCTCCTTTGGCCTCATCGGTGATCTCGCAGACTGTTTCCCCAACGGCCAGATCAAAGAACACCTGCTGGAGGAATGGATCGCACATGAATTCCGTAGTAAGCGCGGTATGCAGCAAGAAACGAAGAAGACGCTGCGGTGGGCTCGTGAAGTGAGTATTCTCATCTCATCTCTTCATCTCCAAGAATACTAACCTTCCGCCCAGATGATCAAACGCGCGACCGCATAGACACCTCTCCCACACTAATACACATCTCATTCCTTGCACGCGATCTATCTCTCATTCTCTCGTTTTCTCTCACTTTGTTTTCCTCATCCGTCAGTTCAATCGCCATCTGAAGGAGGCACATGGATATCATTTTTGCATCTGCATGTAATAGAAGACGGTCTTACTAGTGTTTTTGTTCTTTTTTACTCTCCAACGAACTCAAAAGCTCTTGTTGCTGGAGGTGTCGCAGGCAAGAGTGTGTCTACATAAGCGGTTTTGCGCCGTCGCCTTTGTATCCTTTATCGAATCCTCTTCCTATTCCACAATTAGTTAGTTATCGTTCCTTCGAGTAATCAGAATCAGGGGCATCGTTCATGAATCTTTGCGTAATACAAGATTGAATACAAGGAGTACATACATAGCGATAAGATCGAAAGAAAGTGACGACGACGATAAATGGTACACAAAACAAGTCTAAAGCGATCCAGAGAAATTAAATCAAAGTCTGCTTTCCAACAAAACAGTCTCCTTCCTCCATCCCAACGCACCACGCCCAAACGCAGCTTCAAGAGCCTCATCGATAGTCCTCACAAAGAAAAATTGCATCTCCCGACGGACTTCCAGAGCTACGTCATGTTCCACGTCTTTACGGTTCGCCCACGGTAGGATCACCTTGCGGATCTGTGCGCGGTGTGCACCGAGCACTTTCATTCGAATTCCACCTACGGGCGTCACGCGCCCGCGAAGTGTGATCTAGACAGAAATCATAATCAGAACGCACTTTATTGTGTATCAGGGCACGTACCTCTCCTGTCATAGCAATATCCTTCGGAACACACGCTCCGCTCAAAAGAGACACAAACGCGCATATCTAGTCACCCATCAATTCCCTCCCCCCAAAAACGCTACGAAAAACGCACCATAGCAATTCCTGCACTCGGCCCATCCTTCTTCTGCGCCCCAGCAGGCAAATGCAAATGCACATCAATCACATCCGGAACCTTGAGCGGATCAACCCCCCTCCCAGCCGTAATACCCAGCTCAAAAGCATGCGTCTTCACCCAACTCAACGCGATCTCCCCACTTTCCTTGATCACGTCCCCCAAGCTCCCGGTAAGCTTCAACCTCCCCGTACCTGGAAGAGCGGTGCTTTCGACGGGTAAGATACCCCCCTCTCCCATACCAGTGACTACGAGCCCGTATACGACGCCCCGTTTTTCTTCCCGGTCGCGTTCTTCGCCGTCCCACCGGGGTATACCAAGGATCTTTTCGAGTTCGTGGGGTTCTACAGTCGCTCGCCATTCTTTCCTGACACCATTCTCATTCGCGTTCGCATCCTGTTTCTCGTTCCCGTTCTCGTTCTGCTTCGCGTTCCCTTCCCCTCCCATCGTACCATTCCCCTTATCAAGCCACTCAGCCCATTCCACGGCCTTAAACCTGACAACAGCCCCAATCGCCCGCTCCAAACTCCTGACACCCGCTTCACGTGTATACATCGTAGCCACATGCAACAGTGCGTCATCGGTCAGCGTTAACTGAGAATCCGAAAGCCCATTGGCGCAGATTTGCTTTGGGAGGAGGAAACGTTTCGCGATGTGCATTTTCTCGTCGTAGGTGTATCCTTGGGGTGCGTTAGTTTTGATATGATGGTGACGAGGAGGGAAAGCTCACCTGATAATTCCACCACCTCGCATCGATCTAGCAAAGGCGCAGATATCGTGTCTATGGTATTGGATGTGCATATGAAAAGCACCTGACTGAGGTCAATAGGTACATTGATATAATGATCCTGCACCATCCACCCCAATAGTCAGTCAAATCCAGTACGGGTAATACCGACGCGAAGGAAACGCACATTAAACGAATGATTCTGTTCAGGATCAAGAACTTCGAGGAGAGCAGCAGCCGGATCACCATGGAAATTACTATGTCCTACTTTATCCACTTCGTCCCTGTTCAATTTCAACGTTGCAACCATCTTGCTGTAAATTCCAGAGAAGCTTACAATAAGATCACGGGATCGTTTCTGCCGGCTTTCCGGAGAGCTTGGACAATAGAGCCTGGGCCAGATGCCACGTAGGTTCTCCGATGTCCCCTGTCATTAAACTCAATTGCTGAGTAAGGTGAGATAAGGGGATACAGACCGGATCTCTGCTTCGTCCCGAACGCCGCCTAGTGATATGCGCTGGAACGGTCTTCCCAAGGCCTTTGCAATTGATTGTCCGAGGGAGGTCTTTCCTGTTCCAGGGGGACCGACGAACCTGTATACTGTTCAGCGATTATACACATGATATACAAGATGGACGCACAAGAGTATTGGTCCCTTTACGCCCTTGCTCTTCGTTGGCGGGGTGGGGGTAGCACCCGGGAAAGTATCCGTTGAGGGATTGTTCCCTTGAGCTTGAGTCTGAGCTGCATCTGCAATAGCGCGCAAACGCACGACTGCGAGGTATTCCATGAGTCTGCGTTTTATCTGGTCGAGGCCGTAATGGTCTGCGTCCAGTTGCGCGCTAACAGAGAGTGAGCAGAGAACGGGGGATGAGAGAGGAACTTACCGTGCTCTGGTGAGAAAACTGTGGTCCTTTAGAACGTCAAGGGGGGTAGTCGTTTTGTTTGATGGCCATGGCACGGACGTGAGCCATTCAAGCTGTACAATTCTGAGTATAGATTCTTGATATGTCGAGTGTACTCACGTATGAGCGAATGACACCATTCTCAACACTTCCCTGAGGAATCCTCTTCAATCTGCGCCACTCACGAATACCGACTTTGCGCTCCTCTGAACCAACGTCTAGAGCTTCAATCTTGCGGCGTAAATCAGCAAGGTCATCTGCATCTGCCTGATCGTCGTCGTCTAACTCGCTTGTAGCTCCTCCTGTACCGAACCCAGTACCAACACTAGCAGGAGAGCTTTGTAAACTTTGAAGCTCGCGTTGAATTGCTGCTAATTGCTGACGGAGAAAGTATTCCTTCTGCTGACGGGAGAAAGACTCGTCTACGGCTGATGCGATCTTCTTTGATACTTCCTGAATGGAAGACTGTTTGACGAAGAGTTCCGTAGCGCGACGGAGACGGTCTTCTACGTCTGTAGCAGCGAGGAATGCTGAACAGAAGAATTAATAAATGGATATAAGAAATGAAACATACTGACCGAGTTTGTCTGGGTATTGAGATGACACAGCAGCTACGAGGACGTCTGCCATCCAAGTAGCGCGTTGTTCTGAAATGTCCTCTACTATTGCAGCTACTCTTAACCAGTCGTCTTTGCGTTGTGGCTGAGGAGAGTCCTTTGCGAGACGATCGAGGAGTAAGAGAGCAGCATGTTTGAATGCTTCGACTGTGTCTCTTGACGGTATTCCCTCAGAAGAAGGATAGACGACATTATGAACAGGAAGAGTTTCTGATCGGTCTATCTGAATTGGAGTAGGGAAACGAATTCTTTGTATGCCGTGGAGGGAAAGTAGATATGGCTGAGTGGGAGAAGATTGATTTCTTGGTCTTACAAGACGGGCTATTCTTGCAGCAGTTCCGTATGTAACTTCGGAAGGCGAGTCAGGAGCTGGAAGTGGAATTGCAGCGAGAACTGCATCTGAATCATCCAAGAGCGAGAGAATGGCGTCAGCAAGTGAACGACTGATAGGGAGCGTGACTCGAGCAGTTGGTAGTAGAATTAATGGATGAGGAAGCAATAGAACTGGAAGTTTAGGTGATCCCATCACTGTCGTTGTCGTCGAGCTCAATGTCGGTTGTTGTCGAGCTCGTTGTCGTTGCCGGTGACCCGGTATTAAGTCCACTGTCCACAATTCACGTGATGTTTTACGCGGAAGTCATGTGATTACGCGTTCAAAATGAACCAAGTATTGTTCGAACTTGAATTGAACCATCGTGCAAGAAGCTCTCGTCGTCGTCGTATCGACCATGTGGTCGAAAATAAGCAACGCGCTCAAGCCAACCAAGGATATCGACCAAGATCAAACAACAGACGTTTTATCAAGAGTCTACGAGCAACATCCAAACCTATCCGTATTCCACGAAACTACCAAGAAACTTGGTCTACCCAAGAAAGTCAGATCACATCTTCACTTGAGATCAAACAGTCAGTATTTTTTTTTACTACATTGGCTCGTATTCTGACCATTTGAATAGGTTCGCAGGTGTCTCTCGCTCGAGGAAGTTCATCTGACACAGTTCGAGACTCATCTCGTCCCTCACTCGAAGGCAGCGTCAGGTCAATTCTCCGTGATCCAAAGACACCAGGAACTGGTCAAAACGTCCGTTTCTTTTCTCGAGATAACTACAAAGTCATCAGTCCAGACGCTTCAGCTTCCTCATCCGAACCATCTCCAATTTCGTTCGCAGAGCGTCTAGCACGAGTCGCTCGTCCTTCTGCAATGGAGGTATTCGCAGAAGCAGATACTTCCAATTTATTCAACTTGAGTCCTGGAAACGAAATACCACAAGGACTCAAAACACCAATGCTGGACACGGCCATCGAAATTCCAGAAGGTTCCCCTCAAGAAACCTCAACTCCCTTCAAAGGCCACCTAGAAGTACCCGTAGACCCTTCCTTCGCCTTGTCTCCCACAAGCTCTACCTTTTCAGCCGAAATAAGCATCCGACCCACTTCCCCTCCCCCACGAACCCGTCGCTCCCGCGCACTCAGCGACACAGTATTCCAAACAATGCTCAGAAAACACGCACCGGAGGCAGACATCAACGACACTTCAAACGCTTCACTCGTGCTCGTTGCAGAGCCACCAGACCCATTCCGCGCAAACGCAACAACCTACTATACCCCAGGAACAATGATCCCCCCTACCCCTCCCCAACCAACGCATTCCCGCACAGCTTCCAAAGAGGAAGACATCATCTGGAACCTTCGTACCCAACTAGCTCTCTCACAAGAACTCTGCGCGCAGTACGAGATCGACTTGGGAGCTAGAGATGAACTCGTTCAAGCTCTCACCCAACGCGCAGAAGTCGCCGAGAAGGAAAAAGAAAAGAGCAGGAACGTCTTACGCAGCTGGAAGAAGAAGGCAGGTGAACTCGAGCGCATGTGTCGCAACCTCGAAGAAGAAGTCGACACCTCTCGACAAGAAAGCCTCGAGCGCAGCGTCATGGACGAGGCAAGCGGTGAAGCCCTTCGTATGCTCCATCGCCAGATATCACAGCTCGAGCGCGACAAGGAGGCGCTGCAAGACAATGTGGATATCTCTCACCTACGCGATCAACTCCGCGAGAAAGACGCAGAGCTCGACAAACTGCGCGAGGAGATCAAGATCCGGGATGATGCAGAACGTGTGTTGCGTGATGGGATTCAGGAGGCTAGAGAACAGATGGATTACCTCACAACTAATTCTGTGCGGTCTTCGATGGCTGAGGAAGCTCTCATCTCAGCGAACAAGGAGGAACAAGAGAGGCATTCGACCATTGAACACGCATGGGCAGAGGAGCGAATGCGAATGGTCGATGCTCACGAGGCTCTCCAGACAGACAAGAACGCCCTCGCCGACGCTGTCCAGCGTATTTCTTCAGAGTTGGAGCGTGTCAACTCGGAACACGCTACCGCCATCGAAACCGCCGACCAGGACCTCGACGCAGCTCACCAAGAATCCGCAGAACTCCGCAACACCATCGAAGATCTCCAGAATGACAATGAGGCCCTCAAATCCGAACTCGAAGCCCTCGAAACCAAGCTCCTTAACATGGAAGAAGAATGGAGTGAAGGCGAGAACCAACGCGTCGAGCTCGAATCAGAGTTCCAGCGAGCCACCGAAGAGGTACGCCGTCCCCCTCTCCAATTGATCTCACTTACTAACATATCACAGCACGAAACCCACATTACATCCCTAACCGCCGAACTCACCTTCGCCAACGAAAACGTCTCCCGCCTTGAATCCAACATAAAAGAACGCGACGCCTCCATCTCAACCCTCACCGCCACTCTCCTCACACGTACAGACGAAGCCGAATCCCTCCGCGAAGAACTCACCACTCTTAATGTCGAGCATTCCCGCGCTTTCTCCTCCCAAACCCGTGCTCTCCAAGATCTCCAAACCCAAGAAAAAGACCTGCGCACGCAACTCGAAGTCGCAGTGCGGGAAAAGGCAGAGAGCGATATCATGTTGGGCATGAGTAAAGAACGCGTGGGGTCGTTGATGGATGAAGTTGCAAAGCTGAGGAGGACGGTGCATGAGATGCAGCAGGCGAGTGCTGCGCGTGACGTAACTATTGTGCAGTTGCGCAAGGAGCGGGAGAGGGATCGGGAGGATGTTAATGGGCTTAATATCGCTTTGGATTCGAAGCAGCAAGAACTTGAACTTGTGAGTCCCCCGTCAATTACCTTTGTTTCGTGTCTCATGTGATGTTAGATCAAGAGGAAGATTTCGTTGAAGAGTGTCGCGGCGTCAAGTACGCCAGTTTCAAGCAGGGCTGTAAGGCGTGAATCGATGGTTGGGACGCCTTCTTCATCCCGACCTCCTTCGTCCATGTCAGACGCATCGAAAGACGGGAAATCGGACACGCCTTCCGCATCCTCAGCGCCTCGCGCGAGCCTCAGCGCTCTCACCCGCAGCGTGCGTATCAACGCCACCGCCAACCCCCCTGGCAAAATGGGTCCTCCAGCTCCTAAAACCCGTTCATCACTCGCTATAACCACACCTCCCACCCGAGCATCCTTAACTTCATCTACTACATCTCGCGCACCTTCGTCCCTCGGCAAATCAAACACGACTCCGAGACCCAGTGGTCTTGGGATGGGTGTGCCGCGTAGGGTGTCGACAAGCTCTGTAGAGAGTAACTTGAAGACGCCTGTTGCATCTGGCGCGAGGAGGGTCAGCGTTAGTTCGAGCGTGCCGAGTGAGGTTGATGAGAAGGAGAATGTGACGGTGACTGTGAGCGCTAGAGGGGTGAAGACGCCGAGAAGGGCTGTGCCTGCTTAGACTCACTGCACCGACACAGCATCATCATCGTTCGGCTTCAAGTTTCGACACGACGTCGATGCAGACCCAGCAGAGGGTTGTATTAATTTAGACCTCACTCTGCCTAGTCCCGGCATATCACTAATCCCCGCCCGCATATATTCATTCCCCTCAATTTCTCGCTCGCTCTCGGACACATCTGCTTTATGCATATTTTCTTGATACACAGTACTGATCCGACGTACAACATCGCAGTGTCACATTTCAAATCTCAAAGTCGAAGACGATACCCCTCCCTCACGCATCTGCACTGTTTTATGCCATGGTACCGCAGCATTATTGCATCGAATATTTTGTATGCATCCTATCTCTCATATTTTTATCTATTTTCCTTTCATACCATTATTTCTCTCTTACTTTTATTTCCCTCTCGTACCTTTATTTTCCATTTCGTTCTGATTTATGGCGATCTGTATGCTGTATGCTGTGCCTGTTATTGTCTGGCTGTGTGCTTTGTAGTTGATATATCTATGCATCGATGATTTGTGGTTTTTCTTTGCTCGTAAGGTGTAAAGAAACAACCGTGACTATCTTTTCGTTCGAACAAGATTAGCCACTGGCTCGAGGATGTACAGTTTACTGCGCAAAACTAATTCAAATTGAAGCTTTCATTTGAACCAAGTACATTATGGGAAGTTCAAGGACGAGTCAAAGTCCTCCGTGCTCTACACGATGAACACCGAACGTGGGTTACATACAACTTGATGAACTTGGCAGGCACGAGTTCCTACTCCTTGTCACTCCTCGCTGTCAGCGCTAATACTTTTCATGAGACGTCATGCGAACTGTTTCTATGCAAACTACGTAGGACACGGGTGGTGAATATTTGAATCTGTGATTGATGTGGCACGGTGATTGCATCATTGGCGCATCCCTCAAGGCCATCTACTTCACATCGGATCCGACTTTCACAAGGAGTCAGGTGTTGCATCGCAACGCAAGCTGGCGAGTGTCCTGCAATTGCGTCCCGACGCGGGTTACATGACCGTCGTGTGTCCCGCTTCCGCTCGTGATAACTTTTGAATGAAATGCGGGTAATTGTGTCAACGAGTCAACAACTCGCCCTACGCACAGAGATATTTGGTATGGACTTCATTTCACCCGATTTCTTACCTATAAGTATGGTGAGGCTTGCCGGTTGGTATGGCATCTTTGTGATCTTGCCTGTCCTTTCTCTTGGTGTCTCTGCCTAGTACTCAACATGAACACACTAATATCTGTCCTTTACCTTGGTCTCATAGGCCTCGTTACTGCCCTTCGTCCGTCACTCATTGCAAGGGAAGATGGTTCATCTTCCACCTCTTGCCTTTCGCTCCGAAACAGCTGTAATGCGACCACAGTTGATCTGAGCAACTTTTACAACTACACGTCATGTTTCCTCCTGACTGCATGCTCATCAGGCATAGAGAACCCTGCTGAAGTCCTCGACGCATCCAAAGCCCCTGTGACCCAACCCCGGCTGACTGAATCTGTTCGAATACAACTTATTATTCGTGTTCTTTGCTGATTGGTAGTACTGCAGGTCTTCTATGCCATGTCAAAAGGGAATTCGTACATGACGCAACAAAACTACATTGATGCGTACTATAGTCAGATTTCCATCACTCCTAACGGCACCTACCCTGACGAGTAAGTCTCCCTACAACTGATACCAGGGTTCGAATTATTAACGATTTTATTTGTAGTGTCAGTGATATTGTCGATCAATGGATGACCATCGCTGCTTGGACCGGTTTATGCGCCACTGGAAACATTCCTTACACAAACCTTGCTGTGTGTACTCGTTGCTTTTGGACAATAACATCTCTCCTTACATGTCTTCCAGGACTGGCTTGAGTATTCATCTGTCCCTAGAGTATGCCCCGCAGTGGAATCGTGCAACGCTACCATAGCGGCGTCATCCATCCCATGTGTCTCTCAACCGATAACAGACAATGGTTCATGTGCTGAAATGGTCGCCCAGTGTCAATTTTGGGTCACCCAGGGCCTCTTCCAAAATGAATACTGTGTTCTCGCGAGTTTCTGCTATGCGTGGAGCGACACTGATGTTCTCCTGCAAAATGAATACCCGTCCTATATCTCCCCAACGCCCAAGACTAGTCAAGAGGCGACGCTTTCCGAAGCAGTATTCTATAATATGACGGGTGGAGCAGTGTTGATGACTGAACAGAACGCGGTTGATGCATACTATGCAGGCTTGGTATGTTGTTCTCTGAGCGGTAGTGTCAATTTGACGAGCCTTCACAGACAGGCACATGGAAATTGCTTCGGTGGACCTTTTGGCGCAGAGACGGCCCAGAAAACCAACTAACAGTGGGCCTTATCCTACCGCGTGAGTTATCCCGAGATCTCTAGACAATATGACTCAGAATATATTTTCATTTTCAAGCGTTGATTATGTCGTTGATTTCTGGGGTGTCATCAGCGCATGGACCGGTTTTTGCGATACACGCGCTATCCCGTACGCAAACCTAGCAAATTATCTCTCCTATGCCGCCACCAGTGGCTATCATCCAACTTGTTAGGGGGAAATCGTGTCCTAATACGGACTCTGACCCGCGCATACAAAAATTTATTTCGAACATTGTGATATTCTGTCTTTCCAGATAACATTGAGTCGTACCTAATCTACATTAAGTTTGAACGATAGGACAGTCCCTCACTCTCCAGGTCATACTTATTACTGTATCACGAGAGTGTTGTTTAAAATTCATTCGAGTTGATCTTTGGGTAATTGTTTACCATCTTCTTTGCTCGAGAATTATCTTTGTGGGTCAGCCGACTACCAATCAAATACGTATATGGAGTAAAACGTCTCTAGCTTGAGGCGAGCAGCCCAAGAGTGCCCATCACGGTTGCGTGCGTTCCAGCATAGAATGCATAGTAACTCGACTTTGGGATTGCAATGAGCGATGCACAGGAAAATAATCCTCATGCTGAAGCGTCCCTGACGTGCGCGCCTGCCACTTCTCCCGTGACATGCGGTGGTTAATTTTTATGGTCATGTCTCACTCGCTCGTCATCAGCCGAAGACAAGTAACTCATGACTATATTCCAGCTACTGTCGTTCGCACAACCAACCACATCAGAACGGACCAACCCGTCAGGGAGACCTTACCCGCTCGGCGCTTGGCATGTTTAGTTTGAATCTATTATAACTGGTCTTAGTCAAGTGGTTAATTAACATGATTCGAAGTCTGTTCCTTGCAGGATGGTACAGGTTCAAAACCTGGCGACCGTAGTTTTTCCATGGCGTAGCTCGGGCATGAGCTCATGGAGATGCCTTCGAACGTCAACCATAAGACTCATGGCCAAGTGGTCAACAGATTCGAAATCCGTTCCTCTTAGATGGTGCAGGTTCAAAACCTGCTGATGATAGCTTTTTTCTATGATCGCATCTTGGGCATGAGCTCATGGAGAGGTCTTCGAATGTCAACCATAAGACTTGTTACCAAGTAGTCGACAGATTCAAAATCTGTTCCTCCTGGATGGTGAAGGTTCGAAACCTGCCAATGTTAGTTTTTATCTATGGTTGCACCGCCCGGGTATGAGCTCATGGAGAGGTCTTCGAATCGCCCCTATAAGACTCATGAGCAAGTGGTTGACAGATTCGAAATCTGTTAACTCTTGGATGGTGCAGGTTCGAAACCCACCGACAATAGTTTTTCTGTATGATCGCACCTCGGGAATGAACTCATGGAGAGGTCTCCAGACGCTTCACCACAAGACTCATGACCAAGTGGTTAACGGACTCGAAATCTGTTCCTCTTGGATGGTGCAGGTTCGAAACCTACCGACAATAGGTTTTTATCTATGATTGCACCTTGGGCATGAGCTCGTAGAGAGGTCTTCGAATGTCAACCATAAGTCTCGTAGCCAAGTAGTCCACAGATTCGAAATCTGTTCCTCCTGGATGGTGAAGGTTCGAAACCTCTGACAGCAGTCTTTTTCACCTTAGACATTTCATGGTAGTTTCCTCGAAGGTCCATCTCAGCCGGTCGTGACTGCGTGGTACCATGTAATAGATTCGAAACTTGCATGTTTGAAATCCGCCTATGACATTCATTTTATTCGACACCAGGGCTCGAAATCTTCTGAGATCCCTGTTCATGACAAGGAATTAATCCACGATCATTGGCCTCCTTGTTCAAATACCCGAATGGGTTTGGTGTCTAGCAGGATAAAACACGCTGCTTCTTCCGCCATTCCAGTGGAGCTCTGTGGTTTCAAGCACAGTCCAGGTGAGCTTGCTGGAGGGATTGTGGGTAGTCTAGCCTACGTACGTACATGTACTGTGCATCTTTATGCTGCTTTCACAGCATCAAATCGTATCACATTAGATGCACATATATGAGGCCTTTTGCTCCGATCCTTCAAAGTCATAGCCAGGATACTTCAAGCCCGTTTTCAGGAGCGCCTTTGTCGACGTTTTGAATCCTGTGCACCTGGGTCCAACTTATATCATCAAACCTTTAAAAACACGTACCTCGTGCATCCGCGTGCGTCTCGTGTGGTTCTCGTGTGCCAGGGTACAAACTTCAACTTGACACCCACCAATCGCCTGCGTCCGCTGGAGCCCTATTACTGATGGAACAACTATGATTACAACTTGGTGTGAGGTCATGCATCATGTCTCGGACCCTGGGCTCTTTGTCGTCCGTCGACTTGTCATCTCGCGCGATAAGGCCATGGCTATCAGAGTCAACCTAGTTCACACTGGCATTACAGCTTTGAGAGTAATAAATAGTGACATGACTCATTGTTTCTTCAAACTTTCAGCTTGAGCCCCTGTAGCACCCATAAGCAGCGTCGCAGCTCAGCCCCCCATCTCACGCGCATACCTTAATCCGGACCTTGAGCTTATGCGCTTAAGTCCCAATAGGCCCTACTCCAAGGCCCGGCCAGGCGACACGGGAAAGAGAGCAAGATATTCATGTCCTTCAAGAAGTTCACCCAAGCACCATTTACCTTTCGCCTTGAATTGTTTCAACGCCTTCGACGGTTCCGCATGATCAACATAAAACTCCGTGAATGCGGATGAAACAGCCCCAGTGTCTGAGTTCTCCTGGAAGAGGTCACCACGAAGTTGCGCGCTCTTGATATAGTCGACGGGGGAGGCCTCCAGAACTTTCGTCGCATGTTCACGAATAAAAGACAAGTCGACTGCATGCACGTCAACATCTTGAGTTAGTGTTAGTTATGATAACTGATTCGATGTAGATAGACTCGGACTTAAACATACTGGAATATTTTGCTAAAGCAGTGCACGCAGCGGGATGAGATGAAACAAGGCCGACGACAGTAACTCTTTGAAACAAGGGGTGAAGCTTGAGGGTTTGCAACAGCTGAGTTGCGATGTATCGTCTACGAAGACTCCTGTCAACAACGAGCTGAGTGATCCACCCGACCACACCTATGACGATTTGAACTTTCGACAACATCATAATAATGCACATATACGTACCTCCTTCAAAAGACCAGACACTAGCGAAGGCATGTCCGACAAGTTTCTCATGGTGAAAACACGTCACAAGGACAGTGTGATCTGGAATGGATACAGATTGACTTCGCAACTTGCTATCAGTCATCTTGACTGGTTGACCTGAGAAAATGAATTAAGCAAAGTAACAGAGTATTCAACACGGGTGAGAGCTGACCAGGCTTGATGTACTTCGAGATACTGGTTGCATTTTCTCCCCAAATTCCGTAGTTGGTACTGAAGAGTTGCGCGCACGATTTCATGAGATCGTCGGAAATCGCAGTACCTGATATAGCATTATAAGTAATGGATGTACTGGAGGCAGGAGTAGGAAAAAGTTGAGTTACGGACATTGGAAGACGAAGGAAAGTTCTTCTATGTAGTGCTACTTATAGCTGCCTGTGTAAGCCTACATAATAAGCCAGGCCTTTGCCTCATTGCTTGGACTCAAAGCGCATCAAATTTTGCTGCATGCCGCGCACTTAGTAATAATTAAGCCACGTTTAGATCGCTCTCAGGCCTAGGCTGGCACCCAGGTCTGATTACAACTTTAAGTGAAGTACTGTCGCATGCATGATAGGGGCGTGTCATAAATTTCGGTATTTGCCGAAGTCACCTCCAAGTGCCGCGCGCAGTGGCAATCACTTGACAAGTTGATATTATATAACTGGTCGGCGAGCCGATCAGGATGTCGCTCTCGTATACTCATCTTTGGAAATGCAAAGCCACTAGATATATTTTACAATTATCTGCGAGTCCACAACCAGAGCCATCGACTTCAACCGCAGGTCTCACCGTCTATAATACCACAGAGTCTTCTTCAAAGAAAGCCCGCCATCCTTGCACGTATTCTGGATACACATAACCCTACTCAAAAGCTTGTAGGCTTACTAGGGCTAGCAGAGCACATAAGGTCCCATACAGGAGAGGTGACGCGGCAATTTTTTTGACGCCTATTGTGTGCTAATCAACTCAAACAGCGCCCCTGCATCTGCACGACTTGTCAAAAGTCTTATCTGCGCTAATCCCATCTTCATGTTCAAGCACACGCAAAAAGTCATCTTCCGAGTCAGAACGCCCTTATGTGTGTATGGAATCAGCAACCTGCCAGAAACAGTTCCGGACCTTCCAACATCTCTACGTGCACAAGAATACGTACAGCGGGGGTAAACCGTATGCTGCGTGTGCTATCTCCACCATCCAAGTCATCTACTCTAATTTTGTCTTCTCAATGTACAGCAGAAGGTTGCGATGTGGCGTTTGCCAAGTACTATCAACTGCGATCTCTCATCTGCCAAGCACACGCACCCCCAGCTACGAAACCTTACATGCGCACACACCCAGAGTGCACCAAATCGTTCGATACGAACTAAGAGCTTAAAGGTCACGTCAAGACTCATGACGGTTCGTGCACCTTTTAGGTCCGCGTGCATGATAATTCATCATTCACGTTCCACGTGTGCACACCCAAACTGCTTACCTTCATCTAACACTGACCCTACATATTACCCGACATGGACATCCCTCCAAGCTCATATACGCGAGGCCCACCCTCTGACATGCATGCATCCCTCATGCAACGGACGAACCTTCGCTTCCCAACACAATCTACGTGCTTATCAGAGATTATACGAACGACATGAATTAGAAGCCGTCCTCGCAGACTTAGAACCATCAGAAGCAACAGACTTGCCTCGCAAACGTAGACGCGGCGCAGAAGTGGGTAGAGACTGGAAATGCGACAAACGCGAAAAAGAATTGAAATCTGTACGATTGTCGACGGATATTTCTTTTCGATCAATTCTAACGCCATGCACAATGAAAGCCCTCACGATGCATAACAATGTAATTCATCTGGGCCACAGAAATCACTGGCATGTCTGCATACATTGACATTGCTCCAGTGCCTTTGGCTACAAAAAACTCGAAAGGTATCTGGCCAAGACCCATAGCACAAGGAGCGATCAATCTGTCACAAATCCGTCCGAGTCAGACGGCCCTACAACCACCGACACTGATACTGACTGTCCCGACAACAAACCGGCAACTCGGCAGCGCACTTGAGCATCGATTGCATCACCGGATATACTTATTCCCTCCGCAGTCGTATGCCAACGTCAAAACCCGTACGGTGTCCATTCCCCAACGTCGAGGACCTACTGTTATTATCTCCAGAAACTCCGCTTTCCGGTATTTCAGCGTACTGCGATCATATTTTAACTCGCGCATATGATCTTTGTCGGCATTTGAAGGCCGAGCGTGGACTCGTCGGGGACAAGAGCAAGGTAGACTCTTGGGCAAGATCGCATAGAGGCAGCGCTTAGAGATCTTGATATCTGTCTGTTACGAGAGGAGTCTACGGTGTTGTTTAGGTTTTCAATGTTTTCATTTCATACCCTTCTTGATGTGGGAAGCTGATATGTGTTTTTTCTCGAGTCTGGGAAATAGAAAGAGATGGAGGGTAGGGATGGTGTAAATGCATGCAAAGATAGTGTTTGTGATGCGTCTATACCATTCCTATCCTGACATCGACCATATGCATTTCCTGGATCTATCTCAAGTATCTGTATCATCGATCTTGTGCTAATTAATATTATTGTCGCTTAGGTTTACTCCACCTGAACGTTGGCCGAAAGCCTTCAGGGCGCGAAATGAGGAGACTAACAGGCTCGGATTTCTTTCGATAGCATTCAACGATTTCATGGTGTATTGTCACCACGAGATGGTTTTTCGAGGGCATACAGGAGGTGAGTCCTCAGTCCTGCCCCAAGTCCTGTTTAGCTTTACCACTTCGCAGAACATCATTCTGAAATGTTGTTCGAGAGATAAGATGTCGCCTCAAGAAATTGGCTTCGAAAATACTTACGAATGAAGCTGAATTCAGAAAGCTGGCAGCTTGAAACCCTTCACTACCATCGTGTTGGATACCGTGAATCCGTTGTTGTGGCTGGGTGAGCTCCCCTATTGTTTTCTGGCGTCACTCCTGGACACTGAGTGCTCCTCAGGCTACATCACCAACATCGATTGCCACGTTACGTGCAGAGATTCTACAGTCCATCTTTATATCCCTCGCAGTGTAGAACATTATTCGTGCTCAGAGGGTGTAGTTCATCATCGTTGGTGACACGCCCTTTAATCATTGCATACATTCAGATCTACAAATACTTCCAGCCGGCTAGCGCTAGCCAGGACCGCTATGTCTGGAGTACAATTTATAAGTCTTCCAAGCTACTTCGTCCTCCTGATCCTTTTCCCGAACAAACCGCGCTTCATCTCGTAAATTCGTTGACCCAAAGTACTAAGCTATGAGCGAACTGGGCATCGTCATCCCAAGTGACAAGTAATGCCACTCGGGACCGATCACCTCCACTATCATTGGTACTCCCCTCTTCATGAATCGCTGGCTTTTACTCGCAACGTCGAGCCAATTCAGCTGCTATGACGTGGATTCAGAAAACAGTAATCCTCCAGTAAACCAGTGGCTTTCATCCGGAATCACCCGTACTGCTCGTGTTCTCTAGCCACATCCTATTGGTGACGGTGCCGCTACTTGACACGTGTTATGTGTCCATCTTCAATGCTTTTCAGCCCTCTTCAGACGAAGATATGGATCATGGAGCCTCAACTCTTCGGAACGCACAAGAATATTTGCAAATGTTACGCTTCGGAATGGCGCCTGTATCCGTGAATCAGTCACAGGTGCCAACGACTGGAAGCACGTCATTAATAGACCCTGATCAACTATGGTTTGATGTCGTTCGCCTTGAGCTTACTACTGATGCATGATGGCCGTATCCTCATGCCGAAATGTCGGAAGCTGATTGTGTACGATGTCCACCTCCATTGTATCCATGGTTGTGGTAGAGGTTCACTGATCAACTTTTGGCAGAAAAAGATCTCGCACTTTCAATTATGACGCTGATTAGAATTTAGCCGGTAACAATATCTGATATCGACGCACCGTCCGACACAGCGTTTCTTGGTTTCATGGGATAAGAGGTAGGATCTTCACTGCAGGTCGTATTTGCAGGACAATGCTCGTGGCAGTAAACTTCGTTTAGTATGTCTGATTCAGGCAATGTAGGAGTTGTAGCAGGAGGAATTCCTTGCGCACATACATAGTCACACATAGTCACTACATCCGAATCGAACGGATATTCGACGACCTTTTTTTTCGCGAGATAGTATGCATTAGCTAGCATGCCACGAGAGGAACTGTAAAATTACATAGTGTACAGACTCCAAAGATGTTCCCGTTCCCCTATTGGTTTTTCAACTTGGAGATGGAAAAAAAATACAAATACGCCGTATGGTACTGTAAATATTTGGGTTTCTTGACAGCAAGAAATCCATGCGTGAGATAACAAGACGTGGTATAAAACTGTGGCAGCTTCAGAATGATTACTGATATGACCCAGGAATTCGGAGGTGATGTTCCTAAAAGCACATGTCAGATTGCGAGTCTGGGAAACCTATGGGGAACACAAGCACCTTTGCAAGTTTCTCGCCGTCGGACAAAATAGTGAGGCAAGACGGCAAATTCTTCCAACACCACTGCCTTTCGAGCCAGGAGACAAGATTGCGATTCCAGAAAGACCGAGATATATGGGTGAGCCTCTCATCCCATGGTTTCGGAGTTCGCGATAGATGAACGGCCCAATTTTGACATGCGTATTTGAGGGCACCCGAAGCCGATTGACTTTGTTTCCGTGCTTCGTCTGCGAAACTCGAAAGGGCTTTCATAGCATAGATGATCTCCATGTCTGGTGACGCCGTGGTGGAATGATCCTGGTGCCTTAATGCCAGAAACACTGGGAACATCAAGAAATCCGGCAGGGCCTTGAAGAGCTGGATTGCTTGAAAAGCTGGCTGCAAAGACGATTCTGGAGCGATTAGGTACTCTCTGATTGCCTCGGAAGTACTCGAGAATTCTTCCATGGTCCCCCAGACAGTGGTCAACCGCCATGCTTTACCACGAGGTGTCCGCAAACCAGTCTCGCCCATCCTGGTTCTGCAACCAGTCTCGCCCGCCGTGGGTATGCAGCCAGTCTCGTCCACCTTCGTCCTGTAGCCAGTCTCGCCCGTTCTCGGCCTGCAACCAATCTCGCCCGTTATCTGTCTGCAACCAGCCTCGCCCGCGTGGGGCTTGCAACCAGTGACTCACATCCAGAGCATTCAACCAACCTCCCACGAGTGGGGTCTGATGCCTGGGGGATGGCGCCAAGGATAGCTGGGGTGCATTAAGGGCCTGCAGCCAGTCTTGCCTAGTTTCTGTCAGCAGCCAGTTTTTCCCGGCCTCTGTCTGCAGCCACTCTTCCCCGGCCGTGGTTTGCAGCCAGTCTCGCCCAGCTATTCTCCACAACCACTCTTTCCTACCATCAGTCTGCAACCAGTCTTGCCCAGACTTGGTCCACAACCACTCTTTCCCACCGTAAGTCTGCAGCCAGTTTCGTCCGGTCGGGGTCCGCAGCCAGTCTTGTGCGGTTGGGGTCTGCAGCCAGTCTTGCCCAGCCGTGGTGTGCAGCCATTCTTGCCCAGCCTTTGTCCACAACCACTCTGTCCCACGATAAGTCCGCAACCAGTCTCGCCCCGCCGTGGTCTGCAGCCCACTCTTGCCCGGCCGTGGTCTTCAGCCAGTCTCCCCCAGCATTTGTCCACAACCACCTTTTCCTACCATCAGTCTGCAGCCAGTCTTTTCCAGCATTTGTGCACAACCATACTTTCCCATCATAAGTCTGCAGCCAGTCTCGCCCGGCCATGGTTTGCAGCCAGTCTCGCCCGGCCGTGGTCTGCAGCCACTCTTGCCCAGCCGTGGTCTTCAGCCAGTCTCGCCCGGCCGTGGTCTGCAGCCACTCTTGCCCGACTGTGGTCTTCAGCCAGTCCTCCCCAGCCTTTGTCCACAACCACTCTTTACCACTGTAAGTCTGGAGCCAGTCTTGCCCAGCCGTGGCCTGGAGCCAGTCTCGCCCGGCCTCTGTCTGCAGCCAATCATGCGCGCTCTGGGTCCGCAACCACTCTTCCTTACCGTCAGTCTGCAACCAGTCTCGCCCGGCCGTTGTCTGCAGCCAGTCTCTCCCAGCCTCTATCAGTAACCAATCATGCGCGCCCTGGGTACGCAACCACTCTTTCCCCCCGTCGGTCAGCAACCAGTCCATCCCTCCCTGGGTCAGCAGCCAGTCCTTCACTCCTTCGGTCTGCAGCCAGGCACACCCATCCGGGGTATCTAGCCAGAACAGTAACTCTGAACGGTGATTTCCCCGAAGCCATAACAAAGTTATAAGCACTTGCATTGGCTCTGGTGGTTGGACCATGAAGGACAACGAGTGTTTTAAATTCTGGGGATCCTGGGGTTGCATAGCCTGGCTATACTTCTTCAATTCTGAGAGCGCATCCAGGAGGGCCGTACCTTCTGGAATCTCGCGCACCATCAAGTGGAGGGAGGAAAGTGCGAGTAGGGAGTGTGGTGATGTGGTGCATTGTACTTGGCGGAGGCAGCAGTTTGAGCGGCGGGAGATATAGTCGCGAACGGACGAGTGATAGATATTCACGGGGAGACTGCTGTCGGTAGGAAGATCTACTACAGACCGTAGCTGCACCAGCACTTTCTCGACATTCCTGCCCTGACCGGGGCCGAGAAGTTCCGATATTTGTGAGATCGGCAGAGGATCTGCAAGGACAGCAACAATGGACAAGTGCATGTATGCCAACGTCGGGTTAGCGCATGTAGAGAGGATAAAGTCGTATAACCTGTACACCTCCGTTCCTGGAAGCAGTTGACTCGTCAATTCGAGCATGAGTTCAAGCTGATTGCGGGGATCGTTGCGTTGATCATCGATAAACTTCATCATTGTAGTTGCCACGATGAAACGTCTGCCCGCTCGGTTCGCTAGCCGTTCAAGTTGAGCCTTTGTTGGTTTAGCGAAGCCGCAGTTTTCTGAAGGAATCCTCCAAGAAACAATAGATGTCTTCATCGACATCTGCGCCATCAAGCGAGATGGTAGTAGCAACACCCTCGCCAGAAATGTTCACTGGTATCTCGCACACCAGCGGGCGCACATGTTCGTTTTGCATGACTTCACGAATATGCCCTTCCGAGCGACTTGTGACTAGAATGTGAGTCACGGGCAGTTCAGGATCGCGAAGAGCTTGAGCGAGCAGGGATATGAGTTCAGCGAGCTCGCTTTCGGATTTGTCTTCATCAAAGGACTCGAATGCGGGTTGATCGGGGGTTTCAGATGTGCATTCATCAAGGGCATCGATAACGAACGTCAAAGGCGGACTGCCGCACTCGCGTAGTCTACCTTGAAGCTTCCTGGGTGGTCGGAGAAACAAGCCTTCCATCTGATCACGAACAGACTTGTCGGGGTCTAGAAGGGCAGGGTTCTCGAAGATAGCTCTATTCACATGCGTCCTGACGCTGGGGAAATTGCTGGCCAGCTGGTAGGCAAGCGTCGCAAAGAAATAACCGGTCGTGCGCCGTCTCGTGTGCTTGCGGGAAAAAAAAAATGTCCCGGGGAGTCGCGTCTCTATATGCGTCTCCTCTGTCACTTTCAGACTTCTCATCCTCTCAGCTACAGTGAATGCGACAGCAGACTTTCCGACGCCCGCTGTGCCATGCAGCCAAATGATTTGATTGTTTTCTTTCTTGTCTAATAATCCGTAGATGTAGTTGAGAAGGGCCACCCGGGTGCCTTCCAAACATTTCGGATGGGGGTGACGTTCACGAGAGTCATGTTCAGCACCCTTGACAGCGATCTGCGACAATTTCTCCCAAGTTCCTTCAGACATATCTAATAACTGTTAATGAGATCAGACAACGAGAGGGGATAAGAGATGGATATACTGACATTGACTCTTGACAAGAGAATGGTGATAATTGCAATATAGATTGTGAGATGGGACGGAATAATTGAGGACGCTGATCTAAGGATCAAGGATGTGCAGCTTGGATGTTTTGAGGGCGAGTACCGGTAATGGAGTTGTGAAACGATGTTTTGGCAGGTTTTGGCGTAGTAAGTCTGTCCAACGGCGCAACAAAATGATCAAACTCTGCCACTTGCTGTAGAGCAATTGTGCTACTTATTTGAGATCGAATGGATGGATGGATGTTCCAGTGTTGTGGAAAACTCACTGGATGGTGGTGGAATACAGTTGAAACGTTGAAGCTTACATGACCTAGCGCTTGCCTGAGAGGGCACCCGGCGGCACTGCCGCCGCACAGGCCTTGCTCAGCGCCAATAAACTAAGAAGGAATCGCTGCAAAGCGCGGCGCGTGCTGCACTTATGTAACAGCCTGAGATCGAGACCTGCAGCAATTTGTTACAAGAAATTGATGCATCAAAAACCAATTGTATTAGCGAGTTCGAAGGGAATTTATGTAATTAATGTGTAATAGCTATGAATGCCGCGCAGCGGATGTCGATGATGACCAAGAATCTTGGACGGTTCGGACTTGAGATCATGCCATGAGCATTGTATCAATTAACTAGTAGCTAGTCAATATTCAATAGTAGCATGCCAATTAGCAAGCTGCTAATAAGCAAGGAGTTTTATCCCGAATCTCGTGAACGCTGGGTTTTACAGTCATGTTGCCCTCGGCGACCTGGAAAGATGGATCAGTACTAGCTTTGCGAACATACCATACCCTCTCCTCTTTCCCGCCTTCGTCAGCCCGTCGCTTGTTGGTGATATCCTGTAAAGGCATTGGATCTCGGCGTGCATCACCATCACCTGTCCAATCAAACTCGGAACACCAGACTTGGATGATATAGCCTAACTTCTGAAGCAGGATCCCTTCTATCCGAGTCCGCTTGTTTGTAATAATCAAAACCTACCTGCAAGAAACTATTACAAATCTTCATGAATGATACTGACCAAAGCGTTGCCGTGGTGCGGAGGCTACATACATCAAATTCAACGAGTTAGCTCATTGACTTGGAGTATATGTGATATCACGATACAGGTGAAGTACAGTAGCGGCAACTGGATCTACTATTTGTATCTTGAGCGTGAAGTGCAACAACTTGAAGGCATATTTGCTTTGTGAGACGTGACGATGCGCTGGAGCCTGGAGCCACTGGAACAGGGTCTATTAGTTCGTACCTGAAGGCCTGACACCCGACACCATCGATATCGTGGGTTTCGCAGATGGCTGAAATAGCATTCACATTCAAATCAGCGGATTGTTGTCCATTGACATTGGACGCCGGTAGCATGTATTCCAGATGTCGTGGGTGATAAGCATATCACCAGCATTGGTCTTGGGGTTGTTCTTTTACCTTCACCTGCGCATTTGAACAGTATCATGTCAAACTTCTCCGAGCTTCCTCAACCGTCGACTGAGAAGCTGACGGTCAGGAAAGCAGTTGTAGCCATCATGATCTGTGCTGGTATCTTTCTCCTGTAAGCCTGCAGACAGTAGAAGGAAAGGTATCGTATCAAACTGACCACCACTGCTTGGCAGTACTGAGATCATTTATGCTTTCAGGTCAATTGTTGATTTCTTGTTGACTATGATTGATCTAGACGTTGCGAGTCAGCGTTGCAGTCATTTTCATCCATCCTGGCTCAACCATTCCAGCACTGAAGCCATATACCAATTATGCCGCTTTCTGCACCCTCGGAACGAGAACAGTCATTTTCGTAGCCGCACTGCTCGTTGGATGCTATTGGTGCACTTTCGACTGGTGCCACCAAAGCTGGTGGGAAGCGGTGTCTCGGAGTGGAATTTGAAAGTGCAAGCACCCTTGGAGCCAAGTAACGAAAAACTAGGCAGGGCGTGGAGAATATAGTATGCATTATGCTGATCCGTAAGATTTAATGGTTGTCAAGCTGTTTGCGACTCACAGTTTCGGTGAGTTGTTCATGCTAAACCGAAGGAGCGGCTGCCCACGTTCTTCCGATTCCAGCTGGCATGGGCGCAATCAATGTTTGCAATGGATTGGGACTTCTCTTCCGCTCATGGAAAACACCTGATTCCACCGTGTCCGACTTGTTGACTGGCATTATTATCCCCATTAATATTGCCGCTTGGTCAGTCCGCATTGCCTATGTAGGAAGGTTACCAACACAAAGGGGCAACATGACTGTGGGCAACAGTCACCCTGGATTGTATAAGATTGCTCCAGGTAAATATAAGGTCGATGACGACACAGTTTAATGAAGTGGATATCGCATGCACGAGAAGCTGGGGATGGGGCAGCGCAGTGCTAGGTCTGCCTTGATACGAACAACATCCTATGGCCGCCAATCAGTACTCCTTGTCATCGAGACAATACAATGATTATCTTACCTCCATTCTGAGCACGCTATTGATAGGTACATAAGTATCGAAGGAGATATAAGGAGTAAGTTACATGGCAAACCTTCTTGGGTCGTTCTTGGGTCGCAATTCCCGCTGGACATGAATCGTTCCGCAGATCCGCCAGTATTGGATTTAATAACGTCCCAGCCCCGGACCGGATCTTTGTAAAACAACATCCAAACAACGTCTGTTGCTGCATCTGCATACTTGTCTTATGGGGCTGATGTCGGCAGCCGAATGCCATCCACTGATGCACCATTAAAACATTCTTGCACCTCCCCATGCAGATAGAGAGGGCTCTGAAGATAATGCACTGTGACTCAGGATCAATTCGCATCCAGTTATGAGCACCACGAGGCCGATCTAGTCTATCCTTGAGAAGGTATTAGGTCCTGCTGAGATGAGATGCATCAACTGTTTCCACGGTGCTGGTATGAATCGAAGAAGCATTGAGCTGATACTTCAGGAGCCAGTGAGCAAGCGGTAATTCAGTATTGCGTTAAAAATACAGCTACTAAGCGAACATACTCACATGGCGTACGGCTCTGTGGAAGACGCGGGAGTAGGAAAGGTAAGTAATAAATGTCTTCTATCCAAATCGGCGAGATCTGGCGATGAAAGACGGGATGACATGCCAGTGGTAACAGTCCATAATTCGAGAGCATTAGAAACTGATATGAGGGCTAAGACTTGGCCGTCTGCGTCGAGTGGAGTACAGCAAACGTACCGTGTATATAGTGTTTCACAGAGAAAGGACTCGGAGGATCCGTCGGGGGTCCACAGCAACTGTACTAATAAGTTACTGACCAGTGTACAATAGAGATCCCAATACTCGATGAGGGGCAATGGTCCAGCTGTGACGTTGGCATCTAAATCACTGCGCACTAAGGCGGGCGGGCCGCCAAAGTAGCGAAGATGAAAGCAAACATCGATGAAGCACGGGCTTAATGTATGGTGAAGTGGTATTGCTGCGTGCGTGAATGCCAAAGGTTGTATCGAATTGTAAAATCCATCGCTCGTGTCTCAGTTTTGGAGGTACGGGCTGGCGGAAGGAATCGACGAGGCTGTGAGTTTGGACAGTAAAATAAGTTTTGGCCCCACACAAAGTTGTTTGTCTGTGTTAGGATCTAAAGCTATCGGCTTCGGAACGTATGTAAGTTACTGCTACTTACTACTACTACCGTACGATTCAAAATCTGACTCAACTTTGACTCAAACTCAAATCACCGTGACTCATATTCAAAATTCTGAATCATTCTGTACAGCATCTCCTTTCCTACATATGCCGGACACGACCCCCTAGTCCCTGTCCATTATCACCTTCTGCATTTTGCAGACATATATCTAATATGTCAACTCACTTGCGCCCGGAGGATTCTCAACTCATCAATGATCTGCACCAGCTCTCAAAGAAGTCGCCCAAGCTTGTACGATCAACGGTGTACAGCGTGCCGTCAGATCCCTCCATCTCCGTTCGAAGCTGGAAGATGAACGAGTTCAAGTACTATGACATTCCATCGCCTTTTCCAACGCTAGCGAGAGGTCTGTTCAGCCGTGAACTTCCATGTGGGGATGACTCTAAGGGAGAGCAAAAGTACCAAATCGTAGCTCGAGGATACGATAAGTTTTTCAACATCGGAGAGGTCCCGTGGACCGATGTGAGTTGTCTTCATGACAAACTGCCTGACATCGCCTCATGGGAATTTGTTCGCAGTGGTCAACACTCTCCTTACATACAGGACCCACGTATACGCTGTCACTCAAATCTAATGGATGTATCATATTTGTCGCCCCCATTTCTCCTTCAAAGTTGATCGTCACGTCCAAGCATGCACTGGGTCCAATGCAAGGGGTCTCAGAAACACATTCCGAGGTCGGCCATCGGTGGCTCAAGAAGCACTTGGAAGAAAAGGGCAAAACTGAGGAACAACTGGCATCGAGATTATGGGAGAAGAACTGGACAGCAATCGCCGAGGTATGCAATCCATACAATGCAATCAAAAGTTCTAGAGCCAATTGTTACCCCACAGCTTTGCGACGACAGCTTTGAGGAGCACGTACTCCCTTATCCTACCGAGAAGTCAGGTCTACATCTCCACGGAATAAACGAAACTTCGAGGGAATTTCATACCATGCCTACGGAAACGGTTGACGCATTTGCAGAAGAATGGGGATTTATCAAGACGCCTGCCATCGCCCTGAACTCAATTCCAGAAGTAAAGTCCTTCACCGACGATATCGCAAAAACCGGGAAATGGAATGGCGAAGCACTCGAGGGATTTGTAGTCCGTACGCACATCATCGATCCAAAGCAGGGGTCTACCACTCGAAATACGCCTCCTCCTTACCCAACAGGATCCTCTTTCTTCTTCAAAGTAAAGTTCGATGAACCGTACATGATGTATCGCGACTGGCGGGAAGTCACTAAAACTTTGTTGTCGGCAAAAGGGCCACTCAACAACGTCAAACTGCCAAAGTCGAAGTTGAAGCGGAAGGAGACGCGCCTTTATGTCGAATGGGTAAAAAAGGAAATAAGACATAATCCTAGCGCATTTTCGGAGTATTCGAAAGGCAAAGGCATCATCGCTACTCGCGAGAGATTCTTGCAATGGATGGAGACCGACGAAGGGAAGAAGGGGTTAGTCGTGGAGAGTGAGGCGCCGCCAACCACAAAGGAGTTTGGGAAGACGATAATTTTACCTGTTGCCATTCCCGGGTGTGGTAAGCGCTCAAATTCTGTCTCGTGCCTTTCTTCACAGTTTCTGCTTCACAGGCAAGACGGCTGTTTCTATTGCGCTTGCTTCTCTATTCAATTTCGGACACACCCAGAGTGACGATGTACAAGCGAAAAAATCCGGCTCCGCGTTCATCAGGAATGTTGTCAATCTCTTGGAGGACTATGATGTTGTTATAGCCGACAAGTATGGATCATGCTCGATCTCGTGATTGCCCTTGTGCTAATCTGCTGCAGGAATAACCACCTCAGGCAACATCGTGACTCTCTACGCGAAGCCGGTGCCAAAATGGACCCCCCTGTTCGTCTCCTCGCGTTGAATTGGTCGCTCGATCGACCTCAAGCGACAATCCATCGGATATGCGGTGATAGAGTTTTTGCGCGTGGTGATAAGCACCAGACTCTTCGCGCTGATACCCTGGCCAAGGCGCATGAAGACGTCATATGGCAGTTTATCCGTTCTTCAGAGGAGCTTGCCGACCAAGAGGTAGACGTAAGCATAGAAATGGACATCGAAGATACCCTTGAGGAGGCCGTAGGCCGTGCAGTTGCTGCGTGCGTCAGTACCCTTGGTCTTCGGCAGCCAAGTGCAGAAGAGATCGACGAGGCCGTACGCAAGGCCCGTGATTACGTGCCTCAGACAAAGAAGCCTCAAGAAGAGAAGAAGAAAAAGAAAGATGAGCAATCCACGCCGCGCTACTTCGGACTCCTCCCCGAAGTCGATCTCATTGATGTCATCGGGAAAAAAATGGAAGACGCATCGGACGTACCAGAAAATGGAAAAGCGTTCTGGAATGCTCTTGTTGCCGGACATCGTGTTACCCTTGCGCCCCCATATCACTGTGGTGCACAACAAATCCCTCCCCTGATGCCATTGAACTTTGGGAGCGGTGCTCACAGCTCCATAGAATGGCACTTCCTCCCTCGTTCACCTTCACTCTCGGTCATTTGGTCTGGAATAAACGAATTATGGCCATCACCGTGGATGACTTCGACCTCGACGGCTCGCCAGACAATCCCTCTTCCGCAGGTCAGGAAGGTAGTGAGTTTGTGTCGAAACTGTCGGAGGAAGTCCGAAATTCTTTGCACGTAACGGTTGGAACAAGCGATCCTCAGGTAGCCCCTTTTGAAGCGAAGGCACTTGTGGAGGCGTGGCGTTTTGGGAAGAGATCAGGTATTGGCTCACTCGAACTCGATGGGCTGACAGCGCGGGGCAGAATGAAAGGACTTTTTAATTGAAGATGCTGTGGTCTTGTTTCTTTAAGTAACGGCTTCATGACCATAATATGACCAACGTACATCCCCTCTCATCAACCCGCCATCAATAAAACTGTATCAATACCAATAGCAAGTCAATAGTACACACAACTCAATGTCACTTTCTGGAGAAATCAAAACACTACGCGTGGGTTTTGGATGTTATTATTGGTCAGTGAATATCGCGCAAATGTGAATACTGAGGAAGTGCAGATCTCGCTCAATTCTCCCGATCGGTCTTACCCAAGTCTTATACTATCTCAATGTAACCTCATCAAAGAGTCTGCCCGCTTTCACATATGTAGAAGACCCTCAGGAAACAAAAACGCGCTGACAACCGACGTCAAAGCCCTCGGAGTCGCATGGAAGAAGAATGTTGTCAGAGTCGGCGAGGAGGCACGAATCCTTCTGTCTTTCTTTCTTTCATCCGAACCAAACCTATCCTATAAGGACGAGTCCCGCATCAACGAACTAACGAGCGCGCATTCATGAGAACATTGTCTCTCGTCTCAGACGAGTCATAGAAGAGTGCGAAGCCTTCGTTGTCTTCCTCCGCACGGAGGTGAAGCCAAATCTCTTTGCGAAGAAATCACCTCCCCGACAGTTGACCAGTCCCGTCTCAAATCCGCACGCCGCAGCTCGAAATTGCTCCTCGGGATCATGCAGAAATAGATAATAAGTCAAGCATAAGCAATGAGCGCGTGAGCTCTCTGACGAATGATATCTTCGGAGGACTGCATGATCAGTCTAGTCTCCCCTAGACAGACCATAGACGAAATATTTGCACATGGTCGTCTGTATATATAAAAAGTAGTAAGATCCTCACTTCACGAGCGCATTCCCCCTGCGAGATGTGTCAATGAGAGTTACCCGACGTCAATGTTGCACATACCTATTGACCATGGCTTGTTTGTGCATCAGCTCTTTGTCAGTAATAGCTTTGCTGTCTCCGTTGACAACAGCAATAATCTCTCGTGCTAAACGCTCCTCCACCGTCTTTCCACTCTTGTTTTTGCTGGCGGCTAATACAGCATGAACACCCGCCCTTATGCGCTGTTTTTCTGTAAGCGCGGCAGGTCTCACGACGTTCTTTCCTGAGCGCTTCTGTGATACGCACTTGACAGCGGGGGAAGCAGTGATGAGAGCATGACGGAGGATGGGTAGCGGCGGCGCGCGGGTAAGAGCGTGAATATAAAGGAGAGTGCGGGAGACGATGCGCTCTGCCCTTGCACGCTTTCCGTGGTTAAGCAGGGAAGATGCGAGGAAATGCAGAAGGGGGTCGGATACTGGCGGAATGAGCATTTGTGAAGCGTCTGGAGTTGAATTCTGAATTGGGGGCGCGGGGGGAGATAATATATCTGATAGTGATGAAGTCTTCAAGTCGAGGCTTGATGAAGACCCCATTAGAGAGTCAAGTAATGCTGCACTCTGGTTGAGTGTTCGTTCATCGGTAGTAGAGCTATTAGCACGGCGAGCAAGGACTGGGAGCGTGCATCTCAGTGCAACAATGGATGGAGGTATGCGTTGAGGACATGATAGAAACAAGTGCCTCGACGCGTTAAACGTTGCTGGGCGCATTGTCAACAACGATCACGAAGAGCCGAAAGCAAAGAATCTAACACAGATTTGACCGACGCAAACAAAGGGCTAGGCGCGGTATTTGCCGCGGCGTTCCAAATTTGAGTCGGGGGACGCTATCATGTACTGCAAGCACCCATCCCCGACTGTGGATTTTCACCCTGCATTTTATTCCCTCGCTAATGATATGTACATCGTGTGTGGATACTCCACGCTTTGTCGGCAGTAGAAATATAATTGATTAATGTTACGTGGAATACCAGACGGTACGTACTTTGCCCTCCTCTGGCGAGTCGGGGATACAGGTTGATTAGTCGGACTTCTCAAGCATTTGATACTGACGATGATAATGAACAATCACCGAGAATTTCAGAGATGAAAGTAGAAGCGCGAACGACATCCAACGTTATTACACCGAAAATCCTGATTACATGATGGAGTCGTATTATTGCTGGTCATGCTGTTCGTGGGGTGTACACTGCAACTACTGTACAATGATGAGACATGATCATCCTTCGGAGATGTTGGTTAGGTGCTGTCAGATAGTACACGAACCGTCGCATGCCAGCAGTGCTTCATATCCGCACCCAATAGTGACCATCTTCAGGATCATTTTCGCACTCCCAAGACTTGGTGCGGGTTCAAGTTCAAGTTACCCTTTCATTGGCATGGGCCAATTAAAAAGCCATTCACAACTTGGATGGGTGACCGTGACTTACAATGAATCCTTTCCAATCATTCTTTGCGTTCATGCCACAGACCATGCTACAATTACCTGACCTGCACATTCCTGACAACGCACAGCTTGTCCTCAGTGTTGGGGCTTGTCTTATTGTAGTAGGAGTAATTGTTCGGGCTCACCGTCATAAACCAGAGAGCAGCTTTCCTCTCCCACCTTCCCCTCCCACTTGGAGACTTGGGGGGCACTTCTTGCCGCGTCGCCAGTAAATTTTCGTATTCGACTTCTTGATTTTAAAATACTAATTGTTTTCGTCGCCGACAGTTCGTCCCTCACCATAGCGGAATGGATCGACGAGTACGGTCCTCTGATAACCATTCGGTCAAAACTTGAGAGGATCATTATCATCGGCCGTTACAAAGTCGGTCCCTACATACTGAGTTGTATTATCTTGGCTCAACGTTCTGTCGCAGGCCGCCGTGGATATTATGGAGAATCAGGGCAAATTGACAGCTGACCGTCCTCGCATGATTGCAGCTGGAGAAATGTTTGGCGGCGGGATGGGCATAGGATTTGCACACTGGGGGGACAGGTTCCGTCGTATGCGTAGGTTAGTAGTCCGCAATACTTCCCCCCGTCTGTCTTACTTTTCAATGTGGTGCAGAGCACTTCACACGCATCTCCAGCCTAAAGCGGCCGCGGCATATCAGCCCCTGCAGATGTCACACGTGAAGGATACAGTCCTTGGCATTCTCGATGATCCACACGGCGACTTCCAGAAGCATGTGATAACGTAAGAGTTTTCAGTTATATTATACTTTGCTTATAGGTGATTCTAAGTTATGCTGCGACGACAATCATGAAAATTGCTTATGGGAAAACTACGTCCACATCTGCGACTGATTCTTCAGTCCTTGAAATTCGACATTTCGTCAAGACAATTAGTGCGGTCGTGCGTCCTGGTGCTTACCTAGTCGACTCAATTCCGTGGCTCAAGCACCTTCCTTGGTATGGGCGAGACTTAAGACGGGGGTTTGAGAGGACCAAGAAACTCAACCTTGGTCAGCTAAACCGCGTGAGGGAGCAAATGGTATACATTTCCTTTTGAATCTTGACTTCATGTCTGAGTCGTTCCACAGCAGAACGACGTGGACATCGGCCCTTCGTTCATGAGATATATCCTAGAAAATCGCCATCTCTATGGTTTGTCAGACACTGAGATGGCGTTTCTCGGTGGTTCTTTTTTTGCAGCTGGATCCGAGACGGTGAGGTGTTGTTTTGTAGCCTCCGAAGATAGTACACGGCTGAAATCAGGCGAAAGACCTCTACGGCAATCTGCACGGTACTCATGGCAGCTGCATGTTTCCCTGGAGAGCAAGCTCAAGTTCAGGCCGAGCTCGATGCGGTCATTGGAAGGCACCGAGGTACCTTGTTTCCCTATTGCAGCGCTATGATTCATTTGCGTTAAAGCGCCCACCTTCGCCGACCAACAATCTCTTCCTCGTTTACAAGCATTCATCTCTGAGTCTTTGAGATGGAGACCGCCCTTGCCTACCGGTGGTGTGTATCTTGTTTTGATTTTGTGCCTAAATTTCACAACATTCACGCTACAGCGCTGGCTCACCGAACAACTCAGGACATAATTTGGGCAAGTGATCTTGATCTTGGGTCAACTTATTGCGCGAATGATGATCTGGCCTCTTAGGAAAACTATTGTATTCCAGCCGGGACCTCGATATTTGGCAATCATTGGTAAGCATCATGCTCCAAGAAAACTTACCAATGATTTAATGATCACTGCTTTAGGGCCATCTCTCGAGATCCAGACGCCTACCCGGAGCCCGACGCGTTCAAGCCTCAGCGCTGGATTGACGAGCAAGGTCGCCTGCGAGATGATTTAACATTCTTTCCCTACGGCTTTGGTCGGCGGTGAGTACCATCTTTCAGCATTCCTTCTTTGAATGACATTTCCTTTCAGCGTATGCCCCGGTCAACATGTCGCGCAAAGGTGAAGCCACTCTTCCACGCACATCATCTTCCGAGCTTACTTTGATCAAACTAGATCGGTATTCATCAACTCGCTCCTTATTTTTTGGGCTTTCCAGCTTACGTTGGATCCTACGAAACCATTGGATGACATGGGGCTGATGATCGGAGAGAAATCAGACAATCCGTGTACCATCAAGTTTGAGACGAGGATTCCGGTAACGGAGCTCAGGCTCATGATGCACAATTATCCCGACGAGAATGCACTTCGAACCAGTTCAGAATGAATGTCCTAATAATGTTAGTCTTGCCGCTATCACAGTTTGTTTCTGAATGTGGTTGATTCACCCGTGAAAGCTGCAAGACGGAAGGGGGGGGGGGGGGGGGGGGATGAGAATAAGAATAATCGTCACTTACAATACCAATTCACCGTGTATCCCTGTAGTTCTGACACTCCCGATGAGTTCGCACACACAAAATTGACCGTTCGCGAGGCTTCTTCAGCTGGTCCGGATAACATCAAATTAATGATCTTCGAGGCCTGTTGGGCTGATCTGGATGAATTGGCCGATTTTGACTTTGGGGCCAGGGGCGCTGTAAGACAAAAACCATCTATGGATCCCTGCAACCTCTCCGTTGATGCATTTGAATTTTTCTGGGCGCCTGCACTGATAATTTAACCCATACTGCGTTAAAATTATTATACCACATAAATACCCTAAAATGAATTCAATGCGCCAAGTCGAAAGCATCTCGAATATAAATCACGAATCAAGCCGGGATGACGCCCCACAACCTAAAGTCCCTACTGCTTGCGCCAACAGAAAACGAGATCTGGCCGTCAGGTTTGCGCCAGCCTTGAGCGACGACGTCCCAGATAGACAGGTCATAGCGCGAGAGTATGATCGAGACAGGTTTTCGTGTCGTTTGGTGCGATTTCAACATTTGTAAATCCCTTCAGAACTGAAGGAGGTTCGCAAGCGGAAGACGGGTGGTGGATGTAAAGTTGAGGAATCTATTCGAAGTTGAGCGCAAGGATAAGAGCGACTAAATCGGCAAGTTTCACGAACCTCAGTCCCAGACACACTTCCAGTGTTAGTGACCATGAAAGTGACCTGGAATGCGGGCTCGTGGAGCCTGGGAACAATATCAGCCCACGGATCCGTCACTGGTCGTGAAGATCTCACCAAAGCGCAGCAGAAGACCCTTCGGCGATGGGCGATGCCTCCCCGCCCTCCCACGCGATAATCAAATCTTCTTGATCAATGTTCGATGACTGAATAGCAGCCTACGCCAAGGGCGGAGTACGAGAACGTGGTGTAGCTCAAGCCGAAGCCAAACTCGAAACGCGGTGTGATATTCGCCTGCAGTTCCCCTTATTCAAAAACGTGAAAGCACAAAGCAAACTCGGAAATCTCACTTGATCAAAGTGGCGATAATCAATGAACAACCTACAAAGATCGTGAAATTAGCTTCAGCTTAAAGCGGCCTTGGTCAGGTGTACGTCACCCTCCGTATAATTAATTGTCAAAACCTCGCTTGCCGAACCATTAGTGACGAGTTGTGCGGGATAATCTGCGGGATCCTTGGCGATCGTGTACGGAAGTCTTCCAGAAGGGTTGTATGCGCCATAGAGCACATCAGCAATAGCATTACCTGCTTCCTGTCCTTGAATGCCGGCCCAGACGACGGCTGTAATGTTAGGGTGTTCGATCCAGGGCTCCACAATAAGCGGGCCGACGCTGTTCACGACGACTATGGTATTGTTGTTTTGCGCGGCGACAGCGAGGATGAGGTCATCACCATTGTTCCAAGCGGTGAGGTTATTACTAGCAAGGAATGGACATCATTTTCCCTACTGAAGATGTGAGGAACGTACCGATCGCCTGGATTGCCATCGACAGTCATGATACCCTCACCAGAGTCGGAAACGGTGAAAACCAGAGCAACAGCCTGGCCAAATGCCATAGTACCAGCCAGATCAGTGTTCCAGTCGTCAAAGTCCCAGGACACACTGCTGCCATCTTGGCGAGCACGCTCTTGGATACCCTCGAGAGGCGAAATAAGGTAGGAAAAAGTGCCAGTTCTATGCAGCGCCCATCAGTACTAGTGCTCAGGAACAATACCGAGTATCTGAGAGCCAACATACCCAGATCCCCACCCCTGCGCTAGAATGCCATCAACACCACCCCCGAATAAGAACTCGTTCGGACCAGATTTGCCTGGACCCGCATCACTCCCGATCAATACCATGTTCTTGGGTTTGTTCAATGGTAGCGCGCCATTCGTATTTTTTAAGAGGACCGTCCCAGCTGCGCCAATCTCCCTTACAATCCTATAATGGTCAGCCTGCACATTCACATGCATGTTATTCACTTCATCATTTGGATCATTTGAATTAAAGTTCGTCACAGGGTACTCCTCGTCCTGGTGCAGGAAGTACCAAGCGGCAATGATACGCGTCGCCATATCGTCCAGGCGAGCCATACTGATGTACCCTTCGTTCACGTAGTCCGTGAGGTTACCCCCGAAGTAGGATGTGTTGGAGTTATAGAGATTCCCAGGCATAGTCATGTCCAGCCCTGCAACAGCAGAGAGGGTTGCCGTCGTCGCAAAAGAGTCAGACATAACGAAACCTTGGAAACCGTACTCCCGCTTCAAGATGTCATTGAGCATCTTGTCGTTGTTGCATGCGTAAGTGTCGTTGACGAGGTCTGCGATTCAGACCTCAAATGACGCGAATGATAATGGCATAAAGTATGACGGCTTACTGAAACTGCACATGACAGACGAAAGGCCAGCCATGACACTGCGCAAGAACGGGTGCGCGTAGATCTCATGTTGAGTCCTATCATCAACATTCGAGGATTCCACCGCGCGGAACTGCTCCTGCTCACTATAGGAACAGATAAGATCAGAACCGGTTGCAAATGGAACAGCAGACGAACGAACTTGTTTATGAAGTGCTTGGCGCAGGATTGTACTCCACCGTGTTGCAGGCCTAAAACCGTCTCATACGCAGATTCGCCCGCCAGGAAAGGGTCAGCACCGAAACCCTCCCAATTGCGGCCACCCTGAGGGACGCGGCCCATGTTCATCATGGGGCCAAGGGCAGTATTGACTCCCTTGCCTTTGAACTCCTGACCCAAAGCCAGGCCACGAGCACGCATTAGAGCGCGATTCCAGCTGTCATAATACATAACATGATCAGAAATGACATTGGCAAAATTGACGATGACTTACGTGGACGCCACCTGAATGCCAGCTGGAAACACAGACGTAAAGTCTGCACCACGGACGGCTAGAGGCGAGTCCTACATAGTTAATCATCAGACAAATACCTCAAAAGAAAATTCAAGCTTAGGCTATGCACCTGAAGACACAAACCAGGGAAGTTCTTATTAGGCGCGATATTCGCACTGCACAAGCCAACCCCAAAACCGACTCCAGTAGTGATATTGACTTTTTCTTCGATGGTATAATTCGATATCTGGGAAAGCACCAAGTATACTCAGCACGTGCCGACATAAGTTAGGTGATTATGGGAAAGTGTTTGAAGATTCAGTTTGAAACCGGCAAAAGAAGACAATCAAAATATTAATGATTGAGGGTTACAACGGATGCACTAACGAGGTTCCTGGCCTTTTGGTACGCAGTAGCCCACGCAGGCGCAAAGTCAGGCACAACGTGCCGATCGCTGCTGACATCGGGAGGATTCAAAGGGTCGGTGGCGGGGAAAACAGGCGGGGTAGGGGTAGGGGTAGGTGTAGGTGTAGGGTAAGGAGTGAATGAATAACTAGAGAGCGGAATGGTGATGACACCACTCGAGAGGATGGTGGGAGGAAGAAACGCAAACGTTGTCACGGTGGAGTTGGGAGCGGGAGAGGACTGACCCGCACCTAGCTCAAAGGGAAACATACACAACAACGCCAGTAGTTTGGGAAGCATATCGGGTGCACGCATCATATTCTGAAGCTTAAGCTTGAGAATAATCGTATAATCTGGCAAAAGGTCGGAAGGATTGAGACATTTTATCGACACTTCGAACTTGATTTATAATGGAGCAACGGGCTGCAATTGGGAAAAACTGAATTGCAGCACGAGCTCAGGGCTAAAATTCTAGAATTGAGCAGGACTAGTAACTGCTAAGCAGGCTAAGCAGTCACTGGCAGCACTAAACCGTTACAGTCATTAGAGTCCGCGTATGTATTAATTTACGAGAGGATGACAGCTGTAAGCACTTGAAAATTTTTAGAATTGAACAGGGCTGCTAAGCTAGGGTTAGTAGTTACAGGCTAAGCAGTAATTTTAAATTGTTACACTCACCTGTAGTCCGGAAAAGCCTAAATTCAGGTAACTCCGTTCAACAGACTTCATATGTCGATACGATGATGATGATGCATGACATTGTATTTGGCTATGTACAGCTCAGGTATGAATATACCTCGATGGCTCAAGCTAAACATCGTCTAATGTGAGATGGGGTCCCTGGTTTGTTTTTCATCAACATCAAAAGAAGATTGAGAGCCCGCTTATAATCGTCTGATTCGGATGCTGTGCACAAACGTGGGGCCAATTGACGCCCAAAAATGCCGCAATGTTTTCAAGGGAAGGTAAGGCACCCACATAAAAATGTGTATAGGAATCCCGGCGATCGGAAATGGCAGGGGCGAGTCGCGCGCACGTCGGTCGAGTTTATGCCTACAGGGCTGCTCAATTCTGGAGCGTCAATATTGTCGATTTGACCCTATGGCTGTCCTCTCGTAAATTACTTACATGGACCCTAAGGCCTAAGCTTTTCCTGGGTGGTGCATGTTCGAAACCTGCCGACAATACTTTTTCTCCATGACCTGACAGTGAAGCTGCGTACATTGGCGTCGTTTATTGATTACTGGGAGCAATATCGAATTGCATGTGTCTTCAAATACTCAGTACATATGCATTGGTGATACCTACTCTAACATAAAGAACAGAAAGCCTAGAGGGAGCTGGAAGCAGACGAACTTGTTTGTCCGATGCGTGAAAGACGCGGGCGCCGGGAACCACCTTATGAGAACTGCAAAGCAGCCGATGAGTCCGGAACATGTTCAACGTTCAACGGGGAAGGGGTCTCTGTTACTAGTAGCTGCACTGGTACTTCCGGTCATGCAACGTTGCTAGGGTGGCTCCGTCAATCGCATTGGACGTCCCTGCTGATAGCGTGGGCTTCAAGTTGCTGGCGTGATGACTGTGCCAACTTATGCCTTTTTCCACTGTGGGCATTAGCGGTGCGCTACGAGACAATATCAGCATCACCACTCGATATAGATGTCGAAAACTTACATATTTACCTCGTGTCGCAAAGACGTCTACAAGGGGGATCTTGCGTGGGCGAGTGCAGTGACCCTGGGGAGTAGAAGAGCGAGAAAAGAGACAATTCATCATGTTCTTTATTCCGGAATCCGGACCCTTCGGCGTGGCGAATAGTGGTTACAGTAGCAGCGCAGTTGTGTTGTTGTGTCCAGGTGGAGAACGTGGATCAAACTGTCAAATGATGGTGAGACGTATACCAACGCCACCGTACCATATGCAACTCTCGTGGAAGAACTCTTAACTATTGCCTTCGACGTTTGGTATACTGGCAAATGCGGAGCAGTTGAAAATTGAAATGTGGCGAGGTTCGAAGAAGCGCACACTGTGACACGCGTGAGTCACATTCCAGTTCATCTTCCTGCCATTATCTCAACGAGGTCCGACACTTACACAGCCCTATCTATGTAGCCATAACTAGTTCTTACTGAAGCTCATCCCATCATAACCCGACCTTACTGAGCTTGAAGCTCCAGCCCTTTCGGATCATATGCATAAATTCCCGTGGTGCATCGTGCGAGTGATCTTTTTCCCTGCACTCTGTCTTCTTGGTCACATTCAAGCACTCATGAGCTAACACCATGTAAGACCGTAATTTCCCAGCTTGCCAGACCTATGGAAGTGGCAAGCTAGTCGCTCCTACACAAAAAAGAGCTGTTTGCAAGTGCCTTCCTGCAGGCGCACCAGCTAATGCCAGGTGCGACTTTTCGACGGTCCTTCGGTCTCTCGTGTTCTCAGGGTTGACTCGTGCTGCGCGGTCAAGCTGCGATGGTACATACCTTCTGTTCTCAAAAAGTGCCACGTAAGTACATTCAGTGTCCGTGTCGACCGTTCCATAGACTAACTTATGATGTCATTGGCGTGACCCCCAGCTGCATATCAACAGATTTTACAGCAAGGGACCAATACTTAATTCGGTTGGCAAACATAGAATTCTGCATGTGTGCCTCTCGATTAGACTAGAGGTCTATTTGGAATGCCCCATAACAACACTTTCGCGTATCTTCATGGAGTGAACCCTCCTGAACAGCCAGCAGAAGGGAGCAGCATAAGTATCCATGGAGTTTGATATTTAACAGTTGATCTCGTCTAGCTGTAGGTGATGCACTTCAGAATATATGGGAGAAATTGAGTGATGTTCCTTCACCTTCATTCCGTCACTACACATTCAATTTTATCGCAAGCTTGCTGTGAGTTGTTATCTGACCTCTCTATCCGTAACCGGGACTTCGCAGAGGCCATTTTGCTTATGCAATTCCATCACTCGGGACGTGTTTTTAAAGTTCAATGAGTATGTGTTCAAATTCTGGCTTGTTTACCTACTGATTCTGGGGCTCCACTGAATCATCGATCGTGAACCATCCAGGCGCCAGCAATCTGCCACATTGATAAAACTTGCAAGTTTAGTTTTCCCCACGACATTATTTCCGGGATATAAAGGCAAGCCCTAGGCCTGTCCAACTCAGTAAGCCAGAATCTCTTGTCTCAATTCGTATAAACTATGCACTTCCTCCTCCTCCTCGTCGTTACTGCTTTGGCAGCATGTATGTCTATCACCGCATGCGTTCCCGAAAACGGTATTTGCGAGTTAGGCGTTCGCATTTACTGCTCTGGTTTTACTTGTGTGCCCTATGGGTTGCGGGGCTATACTTGCGCCAAGAATTAAAGTGATCGATGAGCTACCAGCCTGTCTATGAGCACGTCTGGACAGTGAGTCGTGTTTCTGCTTTCGCATTGGTACTGTGACTGATGATGCAATACGTAGTTCGTTGCTGACTTGACCAATGTGGTCCACTGTCTAGAGTCTTGATGATTTCAATTTTTCGTGCCTCGTGGGCAGCGAATTGATAGAGACAATGCAATCTTGAACCCTCAAACATGAATTTGATATTTATTGTCGAGTAACTTTGTAGGAGTTGTATTCCCCTGGCGATGAGAAACCCCTTTTCTTTACATCTGATCATTACATTGCTGCCCTAGAACGCCACCCCCTTGGTACTACATATATAAACTCTCATTCGTTCATACTGTCAGTAGCAGACTTGTAGTGGTGTACATATTTCCCCTTTTCGAAACTCACTTCAGTTCTATCTCACACTTCGAACTTGCACAATGTAGTGCACTTACAACTTGAAGACGTGAGGATCGATTTCAATATGCGTCATTTGATCAGGGCTTATGTACATTAAATGCCAAAGTCTGCATTGTGTGCACGGCGGCTATAGTAGTCGAGGCGAAACTGCTATTGGGTGAGTATGAGTCAAAAGACAAAGTTTCATTGTCCATTCAACATCGTCTCTCGGACTGTTTGACATTATCATTGACGCATGCGATTAATTACCACAGATCATCCATCCGGGCTTTCTTCGTGCACAGACCTGCACAGACGATTCATATCCTGTCCTACTTTTATCCGGACCCGCGTGAGCTCTTCGTTGCTCTTAAATAATCTGACTTGACCTGATAGCCGAATACTCACAAGTCAATTGCAGGACCGATTAGAACGCTAATTCATCGTCCAAGATGAAGGTATACGGAAACATTCACCTGCTTTGTTTGCACGACTCCCCTCGTCGCTACACACGCCGATCGTGTTTTGTGACAAAGAATTGGATACAACACATGTATGTACTTTTCGTCGCATTTGTACTAATCAGCGTGTACGTGGACTAGAAGAAAGGTTGTGTATTCTGCCCGTGTCATAATTGACAATGTCTGGCACGAGGTCGACTTAGGCTCCGTTCTGGTGCCGTTGATGGGCCGAGGCCGAACCCCTCAACTGTAACAAAAATACCGAATATCAAGAGAATACTTCGGAGATCGTACTGGCAGGTTACCGAAATCATAAACAGTTCTCCGATCTTTTGCAGCGTTCAAACATTCCGCGCGAGTCACTGCTTTGCGATTTCACCGACAATTTTTACCTTGATCCCATCGGTATCCCTGGATGCACCTCTTTCTACTGAGATTCATGATGAAACACTTACTTCGATCAATCAAATTTCATCCCTCGAGTCTCACTTGGCGAGCGGATAATCCCATGACTAGAGCATGTGACAAGCTGATATACGGATGACAAAGATGTTGCAGGACTATTCAGCTCACGCAGATACCAGAGCAGCGCTCAACTTCCATTCACTGCGCTGAATGCGCCGACACGTCCAGCCAGTAGCTACATGCCTTTAGCTCAGCACCTTGTCTCATCATAATATGGCACTCACGCGCAACGCTCCAGCAAGGCGCTATCAGTCTTAAAAGTGTAAATGTCGGGCACTCCCGCGAATGTCTCGTTGAACTTCATCTCTGTCAAATCATATTGCCAAGATGTCCAGGAAGGTGTGATATCTCCCGGGGTGTATCTGTCGTCAGGAGTCTCGAACATGGCCATAGCCATGAATGAATTCGAGAAAGCAGTGATGAACTGCGAATTGTTGTATGGAGGACCACCCCTGAAACAGTATACAGTCAAAGTAGGGGTTGACCCATTGCCTCAACTTACCCATATGAGGTGAAGTAGTATGCAACATCACTTCCATGCAGGCCAGGCGGGATTGCAAACTCGCCCTGTTTGTATTGAGTATACATAGATTGCAAGTTGCCTCGAACTTACTTTCCAAGCTCGTTCTCCCAAATGCCAAAAGGAGATAATAAGTGGGGCAAACGAATATTGCTAAAACGACCCATGAAATCAGGGGCATTGATCATTGCTTCAAAAATACACATACATTCACCCATCACAAGATTTGCCTGGTTAAGGTTACTTCCGTAGTTCTCGTACATTGTCACCGCTCCAGCAACTTGAGCAGAACCGAAATTCGGGAAAAGCGTCTTGACATAATCTGCAACATCCAATGTCATCGATTGGTCGACGAAAGCGTTGCCCTCATGCGAATTGGTCATAGAGAGGAGATATTTCTAAGAGAAAGGGTCTCAGTTCGTTTGTGAGATAGATGAATTCGTGGATCGTACGCCATTCAAACGACCTTTCCTTATCGTCACGGTAGGCCTCTCCAAGATGAAAGTGCCATCCACAACAGGGACGAATACGAACGTGCCAAAGAACCCGTTGACATTGATGTTATAGTTCAAGGTCTGCAGCGTATTGACGTCTGCAGCGCGCAAACAAGAGAGGGTATCTGAACTTGAGGTACAGCTGCAAGTTGAGGAATTAGATATGGAATGGCGGTTTTTCAAAGGATTTACTTCGTTCCATTGACGACCTCACTATACAACATCTGATAGTGGTATTCAGGACCCTGCATACATCGTCCTCATGAACAAGAATCACCTCCGGAATTCGGTCATTATAGTTGTATTGGGATGGTAAGAACGTAGAACTCGTCATGGCGGTTTCGAAGAGGGGAGGCTGCGTGTTTCCTCCATGAGCAACGATATGTTGTAGCACTGAACCGGCACCTGAAACAACGTAGTAAATAAAGATGATGACGACGAAGAGTACCTAGCGCAGCTCACCAGCGGACTCCCCCCAAATTGTGACCTTCGCGGGGGTCGCCACCGAAGCTGCTTATCTATCCGGGTAAGCTTCCTATCAGCTAGGGTATACTACGCAAGTAAAAAGTTCTGCTCACGTAGGCCTGCACCCATTGTAATGCATAATTCTGGTCGACTTAAAACAGGTTCAGTTGAACCCGAATGACTGCCAGATCATGATAATTGCGTACGTAGTCCAGCATTGAGTGCACCCCCTTCCTTGACTGCTTTCCCAGGAAGAAAACCTAATCGACAGTGTGTACACCTTAGTACGCATCTGAAACTGAGAAGAAAAGCGAAAACATACCGAATAAACCGAGGCGGTACTGGATTAAGACAGTGATGACACCGTGATTCGAGTCCACAATTAGATCTGCGCCATTGAATACGCTTGCAGCTCCTGTAATATACCCCCCACCATGAATGAAAACGACAACTGGCAGCCCTCCTCCCGGAGTGGCCACCACTTTACTTCCAGGAGTGTATACACTGCCGGATGCAACCACTGTTTATAAATGTCAACATCATCGTTCCACGACAGGGCTTACTTCAAGAATAAGCAGTCTTCAGATTGACTAATAGCCCTTTTCCTCATAGAGGTGCTTTCAAACGGATTTGTCAAAGAGTTGCCTGTGGGTGCTTTATTGCATCTGTTTGGTTGCGTGGTAGCTTGTTGAACCCCAGAGACGGCCAATGGAGGCTGCGGAGCTGCCCATCTCAAGTCGCCTATGCGGTTGGTCCGTGAGCTGAGAATGTGTGGAACAAACAGAACTAGACGCACCGACTGGAGGAGCTGCGTAGCGTATTCCAAGGAAGCTGGTGATGTTTGTCACCATGTCAACTGATCCCTGGTACTGGGCATAACCTAAATTGACGATGGGTGATACGGTGACTGCCGGAGAAGACAACGCTCCTAGCGCAAGCAAAACATGCGACACGGCCAAAAGATTGGCTTTAGTGGACAGTTTCAATCCCACAGATCGCACAGTAACAAGCATCCTTGACTAGGGTGATGAAGATGGCACGACTTGACGCACATTATAAACCTCAGTTGCAAGAGCGGATCCGCCTCGGATGCGGCGACCGAAGTACCTGCCAGATCTACAACTTTGCCCGCACATTGAGCGCTCAGCGCTCAGTTTGGGATAGTCCAGGAATTGCCAGACTCGAGTTTTTTCGGAAAGGTTGCACTACATCTGTAAATCCCCGATCGCCCAACTGATCTTACCTAGTAGTAATAGTACATCCGCGCAGAGCAGACAGTCCACTGTAACTTATAGCTACTTCTGAAGTTGCACGAGAGTGACGGTGGAATACTCGCCGCGGAGTTGGCAATCGTACGTCCTCATCTAGTTACTTCTTATCTTGGCCATACGCCTTGTACCATATGCGCTGGATCTTGTATCAACTGTACAGTTTCACTTTCGACATTCAGCTACAGATCCGCATGTCCATTTATCAGTAACGTCGTCGCGTCGTCTCACCTTAGCGTTGTCCTAAACATTACGCCGTGAGGTGAGCATCTTATAGTTCTCAACACCTTTGCACCTTGCGATGTCAATAGATTTACTGTGGCAATATCTGCAATTAGATTGCTCGCCAGTGGGTTGGCAGCGAGGTTTCATCTGGACAGTCACGGTGAGTCGTGTTTCTACTTTTGCATTGGTGCTGTGGGTGATGGCGCATTACGTATTGACTTAGTTGGTCGATGTAGGGAGTCTTGACGATTTCGATTTTTTGTGCCTCATAGTAGGCAGTGGCGGCAGCGCCTTTGGATTGATGGAAACGATCTTGAACGCTCGATATGAATGAATTTGATATTGACTAATGCGAGGAGCGGTTTCAATGTCCAGATCTTCTGTCAGGGCTATAATATTCTCATCGTCGAAGTCTGCATTCACAGCGGCTGTAGCAGTCGTCGAGAGGGCAAAGTTTCATCGTCCATTCAATATCGTCTTTCGGATTTATCGACGTGGTTGATGCGATCAACGACCGCGGATCATCCACCCGGGCTTTCCTCATGGACGGTTCATACCAAATGTATTCTGTCCTACTTTTACCCGAACTCGCGCGAGATCTTCGCTGCTCTTACAGTAATCGGACTTGGCCTAAGAGCCGAGATCACTGCAATACTCACAAGT